CGAGGTTGAGCGTTGTCGACGTGGTGGTGATGAGAGAGATAATGATGCACCATCGTTGACTGGTTGCTCTGGTGAAAGAGGATCCTCAAAAAGTTGATCCCATTCACGAGTAACCTGCTCATTGATTGCTGCAGCTCGTTCATTTGCCAATGATGCCACAGGGCGATCTGAAAGAAGCCATGAATCCACACTATTGTTGTCGTTGTCATGATCACGTGCTGGATGTGCTGCTATAGTCGAATGCTGTAATTGTCGATCGTCGTTGCTGCTGTGTGCCGTTGTTGTTGCTGCTGCTGTGGTGCTGTCGTTGCTGATATCCAATGCTGGCGCTCCAGTATCCTCCCCATCATTTGTTGCTACTTGCACATGCTCATCATTACCATTGTCATTATCCCCAGGCTCATCAGGTGATGCATCATGATTATCATTGTCAAGCGTTAATGGTGAAATTCGACCTGATGATGGATGCAAATCCAAAGAACGCAAAAAGTCGAGAGATTGTGAAGCTGTATCAGCCGAGATAATTGGTGGTGGTGTAATGTGGCTATCTTCATCATCTCGAGATATTCTATGGCGTCTTTGTTGTGAGCGAGTGTTGGTTGATGGCCGAGTGGATTGAGATGTTGATGAGCTGCTGCTACTGTTGGCATTAAAATTGCGACGAGATCTCCCATGATGATCAGGTTGTGGTGATCTATCCGCCATAGTACGTTTAATGCCAATGATGTGCTGTGATGGTGATGGAGGTTGCTGCAAATCCCGAAATGGTGCTAAGCGTGGTGTTGCATATGGCGTGGTGTCTGGTGATGATGTAGGTGATGCAATGTTGACAGGATGTGTGGTGGCAGCTTGAGTCTGACGAGTGCGTAAGTTGGAGACTGCAGTATGAATGATGTTGTTATGCTTCCAAACATGACGCTGTCGTAATTGTTGCTTCACATCATTAACATCCCATCCAACAACACCAACGATATCCTTCAAAACATCAAGCTCACGACCAGCAAATGGCAACTTCCAAGAATTCGTTGCTAGTGCATCCACAAGGCCAGGGTGTGTGCGTCTATGTGTCACCATGTCGTTTGAGGGTAGGAGCCGATCACAGCCAAAGCAGAACTCTTGTGCAAACTCATTTTCTGGTTCCTCATCAGCATTACATGCGTACTTTAGATGCTCTGTTATTGTACGCTTTTCGATGTCTCTATAACCACATTGCCTTGGACAACTCCAAACAGGACGCAAGTGTTGATAGTGGTGTTTGAGATGATGTTCTTGAAGGTGAGTGAGGTCTGTGAAGCGAGCGGTTGCACAACGAGGACAAACAAAGGACTTCGTGCTAGAGATCACTGCAAAGTCGATGATCGGTGTTCCACTTGGCGCTGAATCCACGAGAGGCGGTACACGTGCTTGGTCATCGGTGAGAAATTCTTTGATGCATGAATGTGACATTAAAGCTGATCGAGACTTAAAGGTCGTATCACAATCATAGCATTCAAAGATCACGGTTGTTGGCTGTTTGTGGACCTTGGTGCTGTGTTGAGCGAGAGCACGGCTTGTGTAGTAAAACTTAATCTCGTCCTCTTCAGGATCGCAAAGGCGACATGGGAAAATGGCTGTATCGATCTTGGCTCGGAAGATGATACCGAGATTTGGAGGTGTCATGTGCGTAAAATAAAGTTGGTGCTACTGAAATGGAAACGTATATATATATTGGACGCTGCGTAATCGTTCGCAATGTCGAAATGGCGAGGTGACAAGACGTGTGTCAATGGCGTCGAAAAGAGATCAGGTGAGAGAGGCGGAGAAGCTGATTCTTATGCAACTGAGCAAGTACACCTTTCCTTTGACACAAGAAGAGAGATGAGCGTCTGGAGATGTACAGGCCGTGCAAGAAATGCCGAACGTTGCAATGGAGCCGCTGTCGATCGTCAAGCTGTTGTTGCTTCCCCACAAGATTGGTATCAAAAGATTCGTCGCAAGGAGCTCTTTCAAAGGTACTTAATGCAAAAAGTACGTTGTGTCGCAGCAACATCTTGGATCTTCTTGATCGGCATTATTCTTTTGTACAAAGCCATCATCTCATTACTTTCATGCTGCGCCCAACATCTTTACTTCGCCACACCATCATGCTTAGCCCTCCCACAATATACTTGTCGCAGCAACATACCGGATCTTCTTGATCGGTATTATCTTTTTATACATCTTTATCATCTTATCTTCTTTATGCTGCGCCCTCCATCATTACTTCGCCACATCCATATTACTTAGCCATCTTGATATACTTAGCCCCATCCAACAATTATAAATAGTGGACGATCTCATAGAATAAAACATCATCTTACGTTCTCTTTACTTTATTGTCTATTTGCCTGTGTGGCACTATTCTCCTTCGTGGTTCTATTCCTGTGTGGTCTTATTCCTTCGTGGTCTTATTCCTGTGTGGTCTATCTATCCTTCGTGGTCATTATCTCCTTCGTGGAAGTCGTCTATTATCCTGTGTGGATCCAAAAAGAAAGACGACAGTTGTGATAGCAAATTGACTCAAAAAATGCAAAATTTCCCCCACCGGGAATCGAACCCGGGCCACCTGTGTGAAAGACAGGGATCCTGACCACTGGACCATAGAGGATTGGGAGACAGTTATTTTGATACGGCCCGTGGTGGTATATAAGTTGGTGGCCTGCCTGGTTTGGAAGGTTGTTGAAATGGCATGAAATGAGTATCAAGACGTAGCGGAGTGATCAAGGATGATGGTGATGAAGACGAGACGTCGATATGGAGGCTCATTGTGGAGCAATTTCAAGTAGAAGTAGTTGGCGGATTCATTGGTCGGAGTGAAGTGGTAGCTTGCAGCCCATCAGCAGCTCCCTTCACCTCCCTTACACATGGCCAATGTTTTTGCATGAATGTGAAACCTTTCTGTGGCTGATCCCTTGCCGGTAAAAGGGACATCAAAATAAACTTTTTATCAGGATCGTTTTTTTCTTTCTCTAATTTTGTGGTTGCCTGGTATCAGAACGACGCTGTCAGAACGGTACAGGAACGCATTATTATTCTTTTTATTGTATACATCTGTCAAAGGACTACCGAGCTATAAGAATCCCCCTTTCCTTTCTTTACATTGTATTTCTACCACATCTGGCGTATCACACGTATCAATTTTAACCGCTGGGTCGGCGCATGAGAAAGCCCCCACCTGCCATATATGGTAGTTGAGAAAGTGACTGCTTTGGAATGAAAAAATGGTACCAGCGTGTAGCTGAAGTGACACGCAATACGATAGTAAATTAGGAATATGTATTGTGAAGGGCATTGGCGAGGAATATGAAGGAATAGGTGGTTGATAATCCTATTTTTTGTATGCAAGGCCTATCTTCCTTAAGGAACTGGTATAAAATTTCTGGAAGAAAGATTGATTTGAGGCCATTGTTGTACTTAAGTTCCTTATCTAGTTTTCTAAACCAATCCAGCGCTTCTCCTTTCAAGTGGTGGTTGATTAACTAATACTTGAGGTCATTTATAAGACAATTCCTTGCGCTGGCATGCTTATGGAACTCTTCTAAAAACGCAACTGGGTCCTCGTGCATGCCCTTACCTGAAAAGTAATACATGCGAAATGGTGTGATGAAGGACGATGAAGGACACGTGACTACACAGCTCGGCATGAAGAGACCCGCTCCCAAGAACCCACCCTGGCATAACCAATATGACACAAAGTACAAGTGCCACCTCCTCTCTCCCATACAAACCTTATCAACAATCATATAAATATCCCATGTAGCGAACAAAGAATCCTTAGTGAGGTTCCTGATACTTTTGAGCAGCTATGTGAGTATGTGTATGTGCCTTTTTTGATAGTTAGAATGTTTATACTTTTATGTTGTATTCCTTTAGCTGTATCCTAGTTCTCTACCACATTTGTGCTTTCTCTCTCTCTTTTGTGTTCTTTCTCGATTGTATTTCTCTTTGAGCTTTTGTCTTTTGAGACATCCTTTGTATCTTTATTTGCAGCAGTAGACCATTCAGCATGTAGTTTTAGATAGATGACTTCTGATTTGGACACCTCGACTCACACGGCAGGGTATTCAGATATAGGCCTCGCTGCTGATCCTCGCCCGGTTTATTCATTTCAATAGCTATGGTATCCCATACCCAGGCACCCTATATGCTTGGTGCTGTGCCATAGGAAATTGGTATGGATTGTACATAGAATAGAATGGGAAGCTCCTTGTGGCCAAAAATGATGGGTTGATGGCACAATGGGATAAAATGGTAATTGGATCGGGTACCATTGACATTGAGAGATACTTGATGCTGTAGGAAAAATCCACCATCGTTGCTGATACATGGCTATTCCACCATGAAATATAGAATCCGGATCAAAAACAGGTTTGCCATGTGAGTCGAAGCATCTATGAATGCTGTGATCTAAATCTCCGCTTTATTGAGAGAATACAGCTAATGAAGAATTGAATACAATAAAAAGGAAAGGGATGGCGTCGGTGGGAAGATTCATGTGTCAGGTTTGAGCTAGTCCTCCTAGGTAGTTCTTTATCACCATCTTCCGACTATTGGCAAAAAATGCGTGTTAGCTCTTTGATCCTTTGAATTTTACTCTCCTTTATACTTGCCTTGTCTGGTTCTTGCGCCATTGCTTGTACTCTTCCTTTACCTTTGTTTTGCCTTCTCCATGCTTTATTAAACAGCTTGTAATCATCCAGCATGTACATCACCAGCTTTGTGTTGGCCATAAAGGAGTCTCATCCCACTGTCGGTTTCCATCCGTCAGCTCGTGCACCTCCACATGATCCTTCTAACACAATAAGACATATGAAGATTGGTGTCGGATATCGTCATGAATCCTGTTACTTTGATGGTGGGACTCTTAAGGATCAATTGCATGCTGGCTCCACCATCAACCTTGCCAACCAAGAACAGTACTGCACGTTCCAGTGGAAGTTGCTTCATAGGATCCTCGTTCTTCAGCCACCTTATGAACCAACTCAATGCAACTTGTGGATCTCACTGCTTGCCTTGTTCATAGTCGTTCCAAACAGCCCCTCTAGAAGTTTCCAAACATTGTGCACAGGATGTGGATTGAGAACAACGGTACGTGTAATTCGATGTCCATGGCGTCGTTCTTTGGGTCCATAAACTTGCAAGGTGGCATTCTTGGTGGGATCATGAAAGGTAAATTGATCCAGGTCAACATGTTCAATGTCGGCAGGACGCATGAAATCACAAATGCCCAAAAGCCAACAGAGTTTGGTAGTGCGATCCGCAACGCTCATGTTGGAGTTGTTGCCCAAGGTATGAAAGTGCTGCAAGATAGGCTCGATAGTAATGGTCGTATGGCGTGCTGGTTGCACATTGAAGTCCTTAAAATCATCGTTGGCTCCTCTCCAAAGGTCGTGGAACAATGCTGCCTTTGGGTTCTTTGCTAAGTGTCTCGGAATTGATCATCGGCTCAGCAATTGATTGCTGGCATCACAACACATGCCAAAAACTCGACGCATATGGATGTGCTGGTATAGCTTGGGAATCAAGAGGGATGTTGGTGAACGAAACACGATCCCATCAGGTAGAGCTGTTTGTTTGTGATTGAATGGCAGGAACTTGTTTGAGCAGTGCCGCATCCACTAAACCAAAAAGGGAAAATCAATGTATGCTCGTCACTATAATGTAGTCAATTACTTACCATTACTGAATCAGCTTGACGTCAAGGTCTTTTGGAGGCACGCTCTTCTGCTTTTCTCCTGTATGCTCGCGAGAATTCCTCTTATGCCTTCTCCCTTCTCTTGCGCCTTATCTCTCGTTCATCTTGCCTGGAACAAGCGGCATCTTTTCGAAGAACATTTAGCAGGTGAGTATTCTTTACATCAAGTGCATATTGGCTTTCCACACATACCCCGAGTCGACATTCGTTGCTTGCTTGGAGTCTTGCTAGAAGATGAAGCTACATAATACAAGGTAAGTAATCTCTATATCAAGTGCATGTTGATTTTCCACACATACCATGAATTGGCACAGGCTTTTCAGAACGAGAGGAGGAGGCTGTACATAATAACAGATTAATAAACCTGTTTTTGATTTGTCTTTATGCATTGATCAACCTACCCTGTTCCGGTTCCTCCACAAGCAACACCTCTTCGGTCTCTGGTGGACCATCATCATCTTTGAATTGAACTCGTTTTGCAATGGCCTATGGAACACAATACCAGTGTTGGTCATCATCCATCCCTCATGTCAAGTATCATTCGAACCACATACCTCAATTGGTTTTTGCGAGCATCCTTGTAGTGAGTAGGAATGCCATAGTCATATCGCCTTTGGGAGTTTACATGGTAGGTAAGGATTCCTTGTAGGGTGTTGATCACACATTGGTTCATGAAAAAGGTCACATGGTAGCTCTCGATAGAATTGGAGGTGCGTTCCTTGTTGTTCTGGAGCTTGTCGAAATAATGCAATACAGCTTTTGAATGCTTGCAACATGCTACCACCAGAGGTTTCAAAGAGGGTAATCGAGATAGCGATCCTTTTCATATCCAAGCAATCGTGACGTGTTGATGATCATCAATATCCGGACCTTTGGGGAGCTTTCATCCATTGCAAGCCAATAAGATCGCAGCGACACCAAGTTTCAATCATATGCCATAGCATCCATGGCGGGATCCACTCGTTTGTTTCCAGCTTCAGGATCCCCACATCCACATCTTCCAAGGTTTGACCCACACAATAAAATAGATCCGATAGCATCCAAACGTCCTTCAAAGATATCGCTATGCAATGAGCCTTTTATGAATACTCAAACTTGCCAATTGCCTCATACCATTACTTACAGGACACTTTAAATAGTCGTAAACAATCGGCCATTGTAGGAGCAACGAACATGAATGGAAATCCTTCAAGTTGAGAGTAACTAAGATGGTGGATGTAAGATGGACATGCAGCGATCATTTCAAAAGTGCTCATGATGACATACCAGTATCCTTATCAAAGCATAGTGTGGTGGTTACAAAGGTTGTTCATGCCAGGTCTTGCATACATATGAATAAAAAAAGGCACCAATGGATGGAGTGACCGTATGATGTGGAATGAAAAAGGATGATACAATGTCGAAGGGTGGTTGTTGATTGAGTTGATAGCAAACAAGAGTCGTCTAGTGATAACTTGTCGAGCTGATTGCAGTCGTTGATGGTCGATGTATTAGCTGCAACCTTGAGACCAATATCCAATTACGCGTACGGCGTCTTCTTTGATGTCCATATTGAAGATAAATGTATCCTTATCCCCGTGATGCTCATGCTTCTAAGGCCTTGTGGAACTACGTATACGCTGCCAACGCCATAGTTTTGTCATAGAGAAGTCCAGCTTGACGATCCACGCATTGCTGCAACTCGATGGGAGATTGGGTAATGGTGCTGTTGACATTCTTGTGTCTGACAGAGACAATGAGTTGATCGTACAGCTTGCAGCAGTTGGTCAGGTCGTTGTTGAAAGGTGGGTGTGGAGGTAGCAGGGAGGGAGAAAGCTCGATCATGCCGACGCGTAAATAGACACCGCCTCTCTCATAAAGGCAGCCTTACTGATACCAATCCACGTGATACCTTTTTGATGCTTGGAGAGTGAATATGAAATAAAGCCCATTTTGTATACATAATCAGTAAAGTGTACCTCTTTCCCTTGTATGGTTTATGTAATTACCTGCAACGATTATCAACAAGAACATGTCATTGCATTTGCACTTGTGCAGCACCAATGTCCCTTTTTACGGCCTTCCATGTATGACCCAGAGACCTTGTTGTATGCCATCCAACTCAACCACCAATCATCATATACGCGTATAAGCCGCTCGCCATCCAATAACCTTTACAAAACACCAATCATACAATAAAGGCCAGTATCCAATGATTGTCCAATATCATCACCCAGTTGTTGTGTCTATTTCATGGATCATTGTTGCAATAAGTATTGTATATGGGATCATCAGCTTCTGAAGGGGGTGCAAATCACTAGTAACGCGGCCAATGTTGGATCCGACGTCGATCGAATGAACCAGGGCAAGCACCTTTTGCACGTAGTCTTTGGTTGATTGATATCCATTTCATATCATCCTTCACAAGCAGCGACATTTTGTGGTGCCGTATCCACCGGTGCCGTGTAGTGTCGTATTGCAGAAACAGGATTGCTGTAATAAAACGTTCCAATGCCCATACGTGTTGATGAAAATACACATCCCACATCGAAAGTCCTTGACATGCGGTCGTAGTGGAAACACAAGGTATGTATACGGTAAATGTAGGCTAGTGGAAAAATGATGTGTTATTATCCGCTACCAATATACATAGTCGAATCCAGGTGCTTACTTTGTATGTGATCCAGCGGCTCATGCATTCCCCATATCATACATATCCTCCTTGTGCCAATGTCGTGTATCTAATCCTGGAAACAAGCACCAGCTGCTTGAAGGAGTGACAAATGCGACTGATGACCCGCCTTGTGCCTGATAACATGAATACGTCATTTCTTGTCAGTAACCTTGTGCACTATCACACATCTTCTCCACCCATGAATTACCTTTGTCAACATCCCATCCCTTGCACACAGTCTGGTTCCATCATCATACTTTGTTGTGGGAATATATCATTCACGCCATGTGGAAGTTGCTTGTATCCTTGTCAACCGCATGGATATGGCAACCAATAACGCGTTGCTGTGGTTTCTGAAAGCGCTCTTATCCTTTCTCAAAAAAGACATATGCTTGATTCAGTAACGGTAACTGCAGCAGCACCTGTTCTCGTGGTAAGCGTGTACCTGGAGAGCTGAGACGAGACCAATAGCCTGTGTCGGGAACGGCGTTATCGCAACGTACCAACGTAGCAATGAAGTCTACCATGAATACCTGTAACAGAGCAACGATTCCAATGTCGAGCACAGAATTGCCAATGAGGAGTGGACGAATACATCGTTGTTGGTTGTTCAATGGATTGGTTGTTCAGAGATGTAAACGCGTAGAACAAAGTGTACAAGGCAAAGGTGGAGGTTTATGCCGCTGAGGCAAGAAACCCCCTTTAACCTAAAAATCTCCGGATACACAAAAATGCATCATCCCCTTTGCTGTTATCTTCCCAACTCACTTACCCCCGTTACAAGTTTTAGTAGCAGTTGTATATAAAAGTGATTATCAATAAAGTTGATCTTCTTTACAGCCCAATAGTATAGCGTGATCTAAAACGTGTATTTGCTATGCATGCTGCATTACGTAAATGGTTGCTTATTGAACAAAACATAATCCAGCTTGGATTGCTTGTAATGTCACACTTTTATTTAATTAGGATGGGGCTTATATTGAAGATTGGGTATAGCCATTTGAATACATCTAACTACATCACTATCCTCTGCATGACAAAGTCTAAGGGTTTTCAACTGAAGACATGCACTCAAGCAGCGTAAAGCAGTAGCTGAAGGACCCTCACCCCACGTATATATATCGAGATGCTGGAGGCGTTTAAACCGAGGCAATTGATAGACAATGGCATCCGTAATAGTACGCGCCTTGAGCTTTAATCCCTCTAATGTCTCAGCCAGGTTACGAAGGAATTGCGTATGATCGTCACCCAAAGATCCGTCAACATGTGCTATCGACAGCCTTTTGAGATCTTTAAACCGTGAAATGGATTCCAGTAATGAAATGTTGGCATGATCGGTTGCAATGTTCAATGTTTTGAGTCTCGACTGATATGCATGCTCTTCAAAGGCCTGCCGTAACATATCTTCTCGATCAGCAAGTACACTTTCGGACACACCGCCAAAGTCAATGTTCCGGATATCCAATGTATGCAGATGATGGAGGTGTTGCAAAGAGGAACGTATCACGTGCTTGTCGATAGCAGCACCGAGTACAAGCAAAGTCTCTACCTTGGGAGCATTGCAAAGTATATTTCCAAAGAACCGGCAAAACAAATGTACAGATAGCTCCTGTGCTTCCCAGTGCTTAGGATCCCTTATGGTAAATGTGACATGCCTGAGTTGGGGAAATGCAACGCGCTCAGCTTTGTCAAAAGAACGTGGATCGAGCGCTTTGATTTCATGTGGTAGATCGATAGCAAGGTGTTCAAGCGTTGTACAATGTCGATTCACAAGGCCAATGACATCATCCATAGCAACCTCCGTATTATTGGCAGTGATGTACAAGGAACGTAATCCACTTTTAGTATCTCGTATTCCTGATGGGTATCGCTTTTTAACAAGCATTCTGTTGAATTCAAGATGCTGCAGCCCAATGCAATATTGATCGATCCATGATAGTACTTTGCAATCCTGTACGTTCTGAATAGTGAGGCGTTGTAGAGAAGGAAATGACCGGAGAATCCTTTCGACACCCTTGTCGTCAAGCCTCTCGTGAGAATCCAGCTCTAGTTGTCTCAATGTCGGGTAAAATGGCAGTTGGCCACGATCCAGTATCACTTTGGCGATCTTCAATGATGTCAACTTTGTGCAAGCGTGAAGTATCTGTGCCAGTGCCATTGTCCCATTCGTATCCTCTCTCCATAACGTTGCATTCACAATCTCCAAATGTCTCAGCGTGCTGTTCAACTTTTGTAATCCGCAATACGCTCTTTCTAAATTGCAACAAGATGAACGACCTATAAATCATCCATCACATTAGTCAAGCATTTCTCATCCACGTTTGAAAAGTAGCGACTTACTTGAAATGCTCAATCGTTTGATTGAAGAAAACCGTCCACGCTCCAAAAATACATAAAATGGCTCTTTATTGGTGCTTATTGCGAGTGATGTGACATGCTGGGAAAACTGAATCGCTTGATCGTGCCCTTTTGATAATGTTTTTGTCTGAGCCGATGAAGATATCCGATAAAGATCGTCTTTAGACCATGCATCAATGACATAGGAAAGTGTGCCTGATTGCGAAAGACGTTCACGCCATGCCATTGATACATCCAAATACGCATGATAGCTCTGGTCTCCTCCACTGCCTTCTCCAATCAACATGGGAGCGATGCGTAATACAATATCCATTGGTAGCTTGTTGATCATGTCAATCTTCTGTTCCAGTTGCCGAGTCGATTCGTTCATAGCATGGTCGATCTCATCATGTAAGCCATCATCATCTGCTGCTGCCAAGGTCCCTGCTCTCTTGTATATCGCCAACGCCTTTGAATGATAACCATACTGTGCATAGATCTTTCCTTGACGATAGTATCCACGACGTGATAAAGGAGCGAGTTGTTGCATACGACGTGTATCCTCTAAAGCGTTCTCAACCTTTGCACATGCGCACCAGGATCGTGCTCGAATGTCCAACATTGACATCTGAAGGTCGGCCTTGTCCATTGCGAGAGTGGATTGACGAATAACATGCTCATGTTGACCTTGTTGATAGGCGACATCAAGCTCGTGTACAAGTGGGTGAAAATGGTTGGTCATAGACTGAGAAACGGGCACAAGCAATTTCCATCCAGCAGTGCAAGGTGAAAGGTGACACAGCCTGGTGTTGCTTAGCAGTATTGTATTACCATGGATCCATCTCCTTATCCTTGGCAATTGTGTCATTGGCAACCACTTTATCTCTATTGAAACCAAGCGATCACTCCAAGGAACACTCTTGCATGGTGCTTGCTTTAGAATCTCGATTCCAATACGGGCCTTCATTTTTTCCTTATCGTCACAATCCAAACATACACTACATGCGTAATCCATTACCCTTATCCAATAAACATCGGCATATCCTTTATATCGTAAAATACATGCAATCTCTCGAATCGTGTGAGCAACGTCAATAAGAAACGAGCCTATATCCTTCATAAAAGTCGCACAGCATGAAAGTCTTGATCCACGTCATCCATGAGTGATTCTACATCATCATCAGTTACCCTGTTCCTTATCATCTTCGCTTTCATCCATTCTTACCCTCATCCACAACGGCATTTTTAGCATGTCCATCTTCACGTTTGCCAGACTTCTTATAGCGTGGGTAGATATTCTCTTCATGGTAGGATGCTGCCATCATCATCGTCATCATCATCCTTTTGGCAGTAGGTCCATAACATCATGTAGCCGTGTATGAATCAAACGTTTACGCATGTCCAATGATGTAAAAAGGTTCATAACGAACACCACACGAAACGATAAGCAATAAAGGGCTTGAGCGTTTGTTCCAACAAGAGGTAACAGGGTCCGTTGCTGATATTGGTTGCTTGGTTTCTTGCATGGCTCAATAGGGTATAGTGGGTTGATCCAAGCATCAAAGTCTTTGTGTCAGCGTAAGAACAAGAGCCAGTAACAGTAAGCAGCCGATGAGTGCAAGCGACATGAAGACAATGGGAGGTTGGTCATTCAATGGATCGGTTGCCGTTGCTGTTGTTGCGTATCCTTCATAAACGCTTAGCTGTAAAAGGGTGCGGAGTGGTGTTTACGGGGATTTCCTTATGTCATGCCGAATTAACCTTTGAAATCCGGACAGCCTTCACGCTGAAAAAGTTCTAAGTCGCGCTTTTTTATGGACACCTCTTTTCTGTGCTCTCCTCATTGCTTCTTGGCCGATAACCTGAATCGCTCTACAATCTAGTGAGCACCTTGCAAATGGACACAAACAACGTTTACAAAGTATTCTTGTCAATTGGTTCGACATTGCTGGTTCCAAAAGACTATTTGGCATGCGTGCAGGTAACGTTATCACTTTTTCCAGTCAGCCCAACTTTATTATTGACTGCAACAACCCACCTCATGCTTCGTTCCCTTGGGAGCCGAAACGAGCTAACGTATAGCAGAGATACTCTCTTATCTTGCGGTTCATACGATATCCAATCACAATGGAGGTACCTTTTCTACCGTTTCTTGACATACATAGGTGATGATTAAGGATACTTTTCAACATAGCCAATACAATGCAATTACAGCACACGAGTACAGCAAAGACAACGACAAGGGAGAGGGTTATTGTCAGCTACTATATCCATCATTGGCGTTGAAGTCGCGCATTGCCTGGGATAGATCAATTATTGTTGTAGTGTTCGATCCATTCTTCGAGTCGGTCATAAAGCTCCTAGTTGGTGTTGTCTTTCGCAATCTTCTTTTGAAAAAGGCTCTGGGATTGGGACATGGAAGTGGATGCTTGGTAACTTGATGGTGGTATGAGGGATGATGATGACGGGGATGGGGATGTTGATGATGGAGGGGAACACGTGTGTGTATGGATGGGAAGGATCGTTGCAAAGGTTGTTGGCATTGCTGTGCAGGGATGTAAAAGCAAACAATGTACGTACATCCTTCCACAAAAACAAACCAAGTACGTACATCGTTCCACAGAATACAACCATGTAGGTACATCCTTGAACAAAAGCAAACCATGTACGTACATCCTTTGACAAAAACCCTCCATGTACGTACCATGTTGGTTTGAGTTCAAATATGGTACGTACATCCTTTGACAAAGTCCAGCCATGTAGGTACAGCCTTCGACAAAAGCAAAACATGTACGTACTTTGTTTGTGTGAGCCAAATCGGGATGGTGTAATGCATGACACAAACAAATGATGAGATTAGGATGATACGCTGTCCGCTATTTACACAAGTCGGCAAAACACGCTATGTACACTCCATCTTGCATTTATTTTGTTAAGGTTGTATGTTAATGCTTATAATGAAAGGTGCGTGTAACTGCTAAATTATAGCCATGTAGCTTTTGTTTATGTTGCAGTTCGGTATAAGAGGGATGCCCATTTGAGGGTTTTATTATGAGAACGCATGTTTTGCTTATATATCATCACATCCAATATGTAAAGGAAGAGAAAAAAGTTGTGTTTGGCTGCCTGTGTAGGCCTGGTAGCAATAAAGAGCGCGACCTTGAAGACTTTTTAGTGTGAAGTGCTGTCGGGATTTCAAAGGTTAATTCGGCATGACATAAGGAAATCCGTGTTTACGGGTGTCGACAAGGAAACGGGAATAACCCAAGAGGTGAATTGGAGTGGACAAAGGTGCTGCATAATTATAGCAGTGGCTTTACCCCGCACGAATGGATCGGATAAACAAGGAGAACTTTGCCGTTACACAAAACATGCCATCCATTCACGCACATAAAGAGTAACCAACTTGACATTCACCATAAAGATAAAAGCATGCATAATAGTCGTCATGGTTAGTTAGGCTAGTAGCATGAAAATCCTTATAAATCTCACACGATCAAAGAATAAACAAGAGACTCTCTTTCGCACTTTTCTCTGATTGACCAACGAGGGGCACGAAGCCAAAGGAAAACAGGGGTTTAATCAGAAAAATGTATGTACAGGACACAACGACGAGAGGATAAGAAAAAGGAAGGCTAAGACATCAAGGCTTGTTTTATGTAGCGTGATTCTATTGTATACATTACTTGCTGCTTGTATCCAGTAAACGCTTGCTGCATTGTCTTGTGGCACCTTTCAAGGTCATCAAACAAGTTATTGGCATGTGTTGCATACTTTGGATATGAACGAAGCTGCCGAGGTGGATAACGTATTCTCTATACAAGAAGTGGACGTATGCAAAGATTTTACGCAAGCACAACAAAAGCAGATCATGACCATTGTCAATAAGCATGAAGATCGTTTTGCAAGCAAGCTGACAAAGGTTGGAGAGCTCAAGGTGGAACCTTATCGAATGGCGCTGAAGGATGATGCACGTCCCAAGAAGGTTGCTCCATATACATTCCCACGCGAGGCCAATGAGTGGTTGAAAGGGATATTTGTCACAGCTTGAAGAGCTTGGATTTATAGAAAGATGTAATGGTCCATGGGATGCTGGTGCCCTTCTCATCCCATCAGACGTTGAGAAGATGTCGTGAACCGATACCACCGTTCACTCTTTATCATACAACGGTTGATCTATACCTTATTGAAGGTCACTTTATGTTCGGGTACAGGATCCACACATCCGAGTAGTTCACACACACAATAAGGAGATGGCACACCTATGAGAGTAAGAGGTAACAAATAATGAATGTGGACTTGACTTTATCATAGAGAGAGCTCCTACGCCACTACACGCATGACTTACACAAATCAACCATTTGTGCCACCTACACACGGGTCCCATCATCACTGCGTATGCCAACTCATCCACATCCTGAAGCAGGAAGCCACATCAACAACAACCCAAATATCAATCCCTTACGCCATCATCCATCAAAGCTATAAATAAGCGCACTCAATTATTTGAAATAAATCATTCCACTTTTATCGAGTCTCACTGTATTCTCTCATCTTTTTTTCTCATCATCTTTTATTGTGCGCATTTCAGAAGAGAGCTTCAAAATCAAAGTTCAAGGTTAGGCCCTTGAAGAAGGAACCGAGGTTGCGCAGCAAGAAACAAGGTACAAGCCAGCCTGTGTGAACGTTATCTGTTAAGGCGGATATTTGCCGCATGGTCAAGAGGTTATTGAGAAGTCCGACCATGATGTTAATGGGGCCAAGGTGGATCACCATTGTTCAGCTCCTCCACTCAAGGCCAGTGAAAAGGACCCATATCGACTTGTTTTCAATTATAAGCCCATCAACTCGGCTACAGTGGATTCTGGTTACCCTATTCCAAACATCCATGAGCTGTTTACACGTTTGGGAGGTGCAAACTACTTTTCTATTATGGACGCGATGAAAGGCTTTTGGCAGTTACCATTCCATGAGGAATCAAGGGACTTGACGGGCTTTGTAGTAAACTGTGGAGGATACTCTGAATGGCGTTGGAAGCGTTTGGCCATGGGATTGAAAGGAAGTCCGGGCGCATGGCAAAGCCTGATGGATGATTTTTTCAAGGATCCAATTAATGTGTATCTCATGGTGAATATCGACGACGTAGTGGTGTACAGCAAGACGTTTGATGAAGATTTGCAACATTTGGATGAGGTATTCAAGATGGCCAGCCATGTCAACCTCTCATTTTCAAAATGCAAGTGTAAATTTGGCTTCTCGGAGTTGAAGGTACTGGGCTACCAAGTGCTCAGGGAAGGATTTGAAATGCTTGATACGAAGGTATCCAAGATCATTAAATGGGCCAATACCTCAAGATAAGGAAGAGTTGTCCCGTTTCATTGGTTCGGTACCATACTATCGACGTTTTATACCTCACTTTTCTACTTTGTTGGAGCCATTGAATCGATTACGAAGAAAGGGTATTGACTATGTATGGGGAGAAGATCAGCAGGCGAGTTTCGATGAATGCAAGAGGTTGATGTCGATCAAGCCCATATTACAACATCCGGATTTCACACGCAAGTTCTATTTGTTCACCGAAGCCTCGGATGTGGGATTAGGTGCTGTACCCACGCAGCGAGGTGAAGAAGCTATGGATAGCACACAAGTATATTTGCCCATCTACTTTGGCAGTCGAAGCCTGAACGATGCTCAACGAAGATGCTCTACCTATGAGAGAGAGTTTATGGCTATTGTTTACTTTGTGAACTTCTTTCGTTTGTATTTGTTGGGTCGCGAATTCGAGGTGATCACTGATCATAAGGCATTGTCTTTCTTGCCGGATATCAAGGAGAACACCTCTGCTCGTGTGGCACGATGGATGGTTACACTATCCATGTACGACTTCGAGATCCGCTATATGCCAGGAAGGTTGAATGTCGTTGCAGATGCCATGTCAAGCATGCCTTTGGATGTGAGCGATGCTACAGCAGCTGAAGAAGTCATTGTGGATGAGTATCTACCAATGTATGCTATCCATGAAGATGAACATCAAGAGGACGCATCAAGAAAACGGCTGAGAGTATATAAGGATTGGGGAGGACTTGAATATGTATGAGGTTTATCAAGCATGGTATTATACTTATCCAGCTTGAGATACCCACGGCACTTAAGCTCACAAGATCGAGAACGTATCCGCAAGATGAGCCAAGGGAGGCTGCATGCATTACAAGAACTAACACTGGTGACTATATGTGTTCATTGGAAAAATGTAGCTATCACATCCTTTTTTACCAAATCTGAAATAGAGAGGCGTGCGTTCAACCACTTTTGCCCCAACATGCGTACCACTTGCAAGATATTATTTTCACTTCCGTTCCTCCTAGCATAGCTTGGTATGGCCCCAATGATTTGCCTACACCTATTGAATGACCTGGTGTCTTTGTGTGCTTCTCGACCGCCATTGACAACTGATTGATGCTGTGCTTCAAAACGGCTTGCTATCTGGTGGTTCATATTAGACATTTGATGTTCAATTACGGGGACGGCTTTTTGCAGGTTAAAATCACGTGGCTCCTTATGAGAGTCAAGTGCTGCATTCAAGGACAATGTTTGAGTGGTCATTTTTCCTCAAAGGTTGCCTTCCTTATACACAATGATCACACTTCAAAAAGCAAGTACTCTTGATCTTCAAATAAAGGATTAGTTCAGAAGAAGTGATTTTGATTTTTTTCAATAAAACTGAATCCTGAAGGAAGATGATACGTAGCTGTTCCAAAAAAATCAAAATCATGTGTGCTGCATAATATGGTTCATCTACTGTGCTGGAGGATGGCAAAACTTCGCAATGCAATGGATCATGATGCATAAGTTTGCCCTTTGGTTTGTAAACGGTATTTATTTAGTGCCACATGAATGACACATTTGTGAAGTATAGCATTCAGGTCCTATGACCTTACAAGGAGTGACAAAGAGGAACAAGAGCAAATTTCAAAGCGGAGAAAGCGGGGATTCGAACCATAGGTCATACAAACATAATACTAAGATGCTAATAAACCATTTACAGGGCCGAAGCCACAGTTTGCCCTTTGGGACAATGCTCATTGATCAAATTCATTCAAAACCACCGATTCATTAAGGTATGTTTCTCTTGTTCAAATCCCTTTATTGACAGGTGGTCTTCATCTTTCTTGAATAAACGTTCTCTCACGGACCAGTTTTTGGTGCCTACTACTGGAACGGCGATCTGGAGACTAGCCACAGCAGCTGCAGACTACAATCACGATTAATGCCTCCAATGACCAACATCCTTGAAAGAGCAAGACAACTCGCAGTGTACGCCTTTGGCAGTGGAAAAGCAATTGACACTGAGTCAAAGGACACAATTAGAAAGACTCTTCGCCTACCAGCATCGGTTCGATACATCGACATCGAAAATCTCTTTGACAGCCTATGCATATGGTTTACAATCCACCACGCAACGAGACTTCGTGATAGAAGCAATCAAGAGAAATGGTGACGCGGGTCCTGACAATCATGAGGATTTCGTGAAGGGCGAATCAAACCATCCATATTGCGTAAATCGGATCCCTCACCTTTATTCCAAAAATGCTTCATGGCTCTTTCCACTTCTTCTTGCGTTGCATAACCATCTGCAGATGTAAAAGCACCATGACCCTCATAGTTGCGTCTGCTGATTTTTTGTTTTTTTCTCTTAGCCCAATACAAAATCGACTTTATACGAGGACCACGAGGAGACTCATTTTTCTTTGCTTGTTTTCTACTTTGGTCATGGGTGGTCCAGGAAGTGGCAGACGATCTGTTGATGGTGGCAACTCATCATCTTGTTTGCGGAGCATACCATTATTGTCGAAAACAACGACGCCACATACATCCTAAGATGAAACAATGAGGCGTATCGTATAGTCAATGATTGTGCTACCTGTGACACCCAAGAAAAGTCACTAGACAGCCAACCTATAACCACTACCAAGGCATATAAGTATCGTCAAGAGGCAGTGTGCAACAATCGGTGTTAGCGAAATACCTGATAATGGAAAGCTGCATTTGTTTTTGCGACAACAGGTTAGTGCTGTTGTATCCTGGTACACATTCTCACGTTTGTCAACCTGCTTTCTCTATCATACGATGGAATTCCCCTATCACCCGAATGAAGGTTTACCTTGTCATCACCAACCTTATCCACATTGGTCACCTATTGCTATATACGTACACGCTTCATCGCTGTAGCACCCGTTGCATGGTTGTATCACACACACCTTCTCGGTATACTCCATTAGGAAGCACACACACACACACACCCTCTTCAACCACCATCACCCTTAAAGCTATAAATACGCTCAACAACCACCACTTGAATAAAGGATCAATCTCTTATTGAGTCTCGTGACTATTAGTCTCCTCTTCTTGTATAAGTGATATTACAAGTGCTTTACTCAATGTCATCATGCTATTATTGATGTTATGAGAAAGGATGTCTTTCGACCCCGCCACAAAAGTGGTTTCAAGAGAAATGCATCTGGTACCATCACCTCATGCTGTGGGTGGTCGTAAGAAAAAGGCATTCGAATTGGGACGTCCACCCTATGACTATCGTACATGCATGCCATGGCATTCAAAATGGTCATACTGAACCGTGAGGGAATTATAGGAACGAAAATGACCAGCATAGCGCAAAGATGCATGTGCGAAATTTTGGTGGTTGAGGCACTCAATATCGGGCAGCTAGGCCATATCCCTTCTTATTGGCACTAGCCGGGTATTGCCTCTATTCCATGCCGATGCCCGCTTTCAAAATTTTCTAATGAAGAGATTGGATTTTTTTGAATGGCGATGCTCAGCATCGTGCAGGGCATCATCTGACCCAGTTTCATGTTCGAGATTGGGAACCCCACCTATATGTATAGGATCTCGCATTTTATCAATCTGGGGTATACCCTGGTTAGCAAAAACTATAGTAGGCCCTGCCATTCGAAAAGTTTGAATCAAATGTAGGTTGTTCATATAACCAAAGGTGATCAGCATACCGAATAGCACCACGTGTGAAAGTCTCAGGATCTAGATAGGTAATTTCATGGTCATCGGCTATGTACACTATAGGCCATCGTATGCATTCTATATGGATACGCACCCATTCAAGATAGTGATGGTGAATCATGGGGTTGTTTTGAGAATGAAAGTGATCAGCATACTTGTAACGATAATAAGTTTAGGGTGAGGATGCCAATAATTGTAACCTAATCATCATTTAGGAACCTTTATTAATCGTGGTTACAAAGAGATAAAGCTAGCAACCAATGAGTACCAATTATGCATCAACAATCCCCAAGGTAGAGAGTCTCGAAGGCGAAAGAGCTATATGGCAATAATGAGTCTAATAAAGTAGCTAGTACAAAGAACATCAATGATGAGATTGGAGATGCATATGCGTATAGGAGATTGTATTGCTTTATTGCATAAATGGTCATTATGTTAGCTCTCAATTAAGCATGACATGTATGAAAATGACTAGCTAAATATACATGTTTAAAAATGACAGCTGCGAGCGATAGCTCTATCTGGGACCTCGTGTCTCGTTTTCTTCACTATATCACCACCCTACAAGGACTCGTACCAACAAAGCCCAAAGCATAGTGCCGTGCTGTCACGTTGACGAGAGCTTCAAGTATCATAAGGATAGTCCCTCCTTCCTTCTACCGGTATTTGTAGATCCAATGAGACCCCTGTATCACACATGTGTTAGTATGCATGACGTTCGATGAGATTCTGCACCAATGTCACTTACAGACCCTTCTCGCAATCACAATTCACCATATGTTCGCTTTGAGTATCCTCCTTTGCAAAACGGTGTTCATCTTGGCTTTAACGTTCCATTGTCCTCATTGCGCTTGCCACCGAAAATAGACCCAATCTTGATGACATTGCGGGCAGCTTTCAAGCATGTAGAAATAAGCCTAACGAACATGGTATTACTAATGGCAGGATAAAAAGGAAGATTCGAATGTACTTACCCATCATCATCGGGAGCGCGTGTATGGTTTTCAGTATCCTTTCACTTGCGCCAACGTAAGGCCGTTTGTGGTCAAACACCGATTCCAACATGATCCAAGTTCTCCTAGCACAGTTCTTGCAAGTCCCACGTTTCTTCTTTTTTCTGTTTTTTTGTTCTTTTTTGTTTCTATTACCGCAAAATGAGAACACACTTTTCATCCTTCATAAAGCCAATCATATACGTACTTCTTTTTTTCAGGCTCTCTTGATTTTGATGATATTGAATGCCAATCCTTGTTTGAGTGATGGTCGAGATTGTTGAGCAGATTCAGCACGGCACCCAACGGCCAGGCGACTCTTAATCGGTGAACGCACGGTGCCCTGTGACCCTGAACGACAAAGCGATACATATCCTCCAGACTGGTCTTGATGCCATTGACGTTTGTTTCTCGGCATGTTTGTTCTATAACACCATTGTTAATACATTGACCTTGTATATATCCCAATTCACCTAATGATACTTGCTTTGATCTTTGTGTTTGTATTTGATAGAGCGCTTGATTGAAATAATTGATGAAGGTGTATGTGCGTACGAGAGAGAGAGAGAGAGAGAGAGAGAGAGCCATAGGTTGATTGTCTTGATATATATATGTGGAATCGTGCAATTGCTGTGCATAGGAAATCCAGAGTCGATCGCCAGAACCGCTGTGATATGGTACAGACGTTCAATGATTGCATCTATATAATGATACGGTAAGCGTCATGGTAATAGATGGGCTTTGGAATCATATACATACGTTTTTAATGGTCGATCCTTGGTTGGTTTGTTCTTGACTTTGGTTGCAATGTCGACCATGTGGCGATTTCGGGCTTTGCCATGTCGTCCATAACCATGCATGAACTTCCCATGATAGGAAAAGGTCCACAGACCACCAGGCATCTTTGGATTGATATGGTTTTGTCGAGAAGATCCAGACTTGAATGATGATAACAATCGTGGTTGATATTGTGAATCCTCTTGCCACGCCATATGACTCATGTGTATATGAATTCTTAGCCTTCTTGATCACATCGCGTGTAGATGATGAAAGATCCAATACAAATCCGTAGCATGTGCATTGGTTCCAATTCGTCCCCCATTTTGAAAGCGTAGCAACCCATAGCATGCTCCAGCCACCACGAGATGAGATGTCCTCGCCATCCGCTACCATGCATGTGCTGCGAATCGTGACCACCGCCAATAGCCACTTCTGCAAATGCCAATAGTAATCCGCCCCTCATGCCATTGAATTGGAAGAACTTGATGATGCCAAATTGTAACAGGAAAGCCACCTCGAAAGACGATTTTGATGCACATGCCGCCAATGGGATGCCATGTCAACATAAAGAGACGCCTGCAGTTGTGCCTTGGTTCCCCCATGGGCCATAAAGCCATCGTCATAGTTGTTTGTTGCCAATTCCAAGTGATAAATGCCACCAGTGTCCGAACGTCCCTTGTGATAATCCATCTTGATGCCATAGGTATGAATCTTCGCAATTGTAGCCATAACAATGGTGACGTGATCAAAGCCAATGCCTTGCTCAATGCCATTGCGTTGCCATCCATGTCATTCTTTGTCGGATATAGAGTACAATAGGCCAACTCCTCATCGTGTTGCTGATGCCACCATAATGCCAATAAAACGAGCGCGTGGTGAGCCGCATCTTGATGCCATAGCCATGTATCGTATCACAGAGAGGAGCACCAACTACTGAAACACGCAGGATCGTATGCACGTGGATCAAAGATAATAGCTGCATCGCAACGAATCGCCTCATGGAATAAAGAAAATGAAGCCCTTGTGCCTTGTTGCCATGCCAATAAATGCCCAAATTCAATGACACTACCAAGTGGATTGAAGAGAGTGACCCCTCTGTGCCTTGAACAACGTTAATAAATGACCTAATAGGTAACGCCGCCAATAGAAGGGAAAAGGTCTTGTCTCCTCTGTAGCCATGGCGATAAATGTGTCCCGCCAATAAAATGAAAAACAATTCCTTGTGCCTTGTCGCCTTGGTGATCAATGCGTTGAAATTGGTAGCGATGCCAGTAGGTTGAAAAGCAACTCCTTTGCTCTGTCGCCATGACAATGAATGTGTCCAAATAGGTAATAGCGCGAATAAGATGCATGCAATGCAATGTCATTGCGTTGTAGCCATGGCGATAAATGTGTTCAACTTGGCAATAGCACCGATCCAGTATTCTCGAAAAGAGACACCTTTTGCGTTGTAGTCATGATGATAGCCTCTTGATATGTAGCAATGCCAATAAAAGGAACGAGAGAAAACTTCAGACTGGTAACCATGACGACCAGTGTATTCAGCTTGATAATGGCACCAGTAAAAAGAAAAGAGAACCCTTGCGCCTTGTTGCCATCACAGCGATGGCTCGATACGATTGCACCATCGATAAAAAGGAAGGAGAACCCTTGTGTATGCCACCAAATGCCCAAGATCCAGATCGGTAACGACACCAATAAAAAGAAAAGAGAACTCCTGTCCTCCGCGACAGCAGCCGCTGCTCATAACAATCGCCCCAAAAGGGCCCAAGGCCTATTGTCAAGGGAGACATACATTAGCATCTTGAAAAGACATATCCATTTGTGCTTCAATACATACCATGCACAGTGACCATAACCTGTTCACAGGGATACCCTACAGAACCAGAAACAAGACGCGGCATGTCATCCCAGGCACATCCAACCCCATGTGGAGAGTGAAAGGAATCAACATGCAGGCCTCTTTCCCACCCACGGATCCTTCAAAGCCTTATCCTCTGCACCAAGAGCGCCGGATCCAACGACGTCCAATCTTCTCCAATCCCCAGGCTATGATGCCTTGCCCACCATGTCTTGATGGTCGTTTGCAGATACCCACTTCACAGAAGATTACCGCTTGTGCCTAAACATGATCATCCAACATGTAAAGGCGGTGGCACTATGCAGGGACACACCACAGTATCAATAACCATGATGGCCCCCACATCATAAAACGACAATAGTAAGTAAATGGGTCATAAAATAATAGCAGTATTTCGACTTACCCTTTCAAGACCAAATCAAGCACCTCAGTGGGTAACGTAGCAACTAGACCATGAGAGGACGTAGGAATGCAAGGTCTTGTACATAGCAAACTGGATCATGGATACCAATTGGACTTCTCGTTGGCTCTTACAGCACCCAAGGTAGCGTCATCGATGACCCTCCAGATCCTCCCACCGCGAGACCTACATGCCGACCCTTTCACTCAACACACATGAAGCTGAACGTACCTGAGAATCATCCACGCTTGAGACTGGACTGCAGGGCATCCCATCCGTAACCAAAGAACGCTCCAAAGGAACAAGCAATCGCCCTATAGGTGGGATAAAGGTACATTAGTAATAGTGACAAACATAGTGATCCAATTTTCACTTACCAGAAGGCACCCACAAACTCGTTGATTCAATCAAAGAGGCCTAGGGCCTCTTGTGCGTCACGCACATCGGATGATAAGGATGGTGTTGATGTTGCGGTTGTGGTGGCGGTGGTAGCAGGTTGTTGTAGTTGGGCGGATTCACGAGGTGTTGAGGAGTTGGCGGTGTTAGAGGATGAGGATGAGGACGATTGGCGGAAAGAAGAAGAAGAAGAAGGTGTTGCGGTTGCTCGTGGTGGTCGTGGTGGAGGAGGTGGCATATCAGGACGCACAATTCGAGACGAAGAAGGAGTGGAAGTGGCGGTCGATGTTGATGATGTTGTGGGAGTCGTAGTAAGGATAGTGCGTCGTGGTCGAGGTGGTGGTGGTGGCATATCGGGATTGATTCGAGAATGAGAGGAAGTGGGAATGGCGGCATTGGTGGTAGGCATAGTAGCCGTAGCTGTGGGGGTTGCGGAATTGGATGGTGTTGTAGGAGTAAGGGCTGCTTGGCGGATGCGTTGGATTCGGGCTTGAATGAGTGACATAACGGGATTAAGTGGAGGGCTAAGAGGAGGAGAAGTGGCAACAGCGGCAGTAGAAGGAGTAGTAATAGGAGCGGTATTGGTGATGGTGGTGGCAGGAATAGGAGTAGGCATAGTGGATGGCATAGTGGTGGTGACGGTATTGGTGATGGTGGTGGTAGAAGCGGTTGTAGTGATGGTAGGAGCAATGATTGTGGTGTCAACCTCCATAGGGACGGGCGTAGGTGATGGTGGAGGTGATGTAGGTGGTGTTGCGGGTTGAGAAGGAATAACAGGGGAAGGCATATCTACGTAAAAGCAGGATATTGGATAAGTAGGCATATATAAAAGGTATCCAAAATTCACACTTACCGATGTCAATAGGATCATCGTTGTCATCATCATAAACGAATGGAGAGGAGTCCAAATGGACGGACATGACCGACAAAAGGTCGTCGTCTAAAACAGATCATCCCATGTGAGTATATACGTGACTCAATATGACAATCCACATAGGTGAAGGTATCACTTACCAACTTCCATGTCATCACGAGGCTCCACAAATCTCCAGTCAGCAGGCTCCCTCATATGTGTGTCCTCGTCAAAAGGATCGTCTACAGTCATGTAGCGAAAAAGAAGGGCTATATAAAAGTTATTGTTAGCAACTTGTATAATTACGGGAGTAACATCGGGATATACACTTACAGAGTAGCTCCATCTCATCCTCATCCTGAGCACCGAAATCACCAACGCCATCATCAGCAGCAGGAACGTCACGAGCTTCTTCACCAACAGCAGCGGGAGCAACAACACCATCTTCCTCAGCAATAACATCGGCAGGACCAGGAACAACAACACCAACAACGTCAACAGCAGGAACACGAACAGGATCATCACCGGCAGGATCAACACCAAGAGCTTTGTCACCATCAACAACACCTTCAACACCTTCATCAGCAACTTCAACAACAGCAGAAACGCAAGTAGGAGCGACACCAACACCGCGAGCAGACACAGAAACAACTTCGTCACCAGCACCAACACGAGAAACGCAAGGATCAAAACCAACACAAGTGCCACAGACAACTTGGCTACCTTCATGGAGGCAAGGAACACCAGCAGGAAGAGGACAGGAAGGCGAAAAACGGACAGCGTGACGAGAGAGGATTTCAAGACCTTCAGCACGAGACGAGAGACAAGTAACAACAACACCAACCACAGGAGGAGGACGAACAGGCACCTTGAGGTCCAACGTAGCATTTGCTTCAAGCAAACGTTCTAAAGAACGAGGGTTGGCAATAGAGACCCACTTTTGCACGAAGACAACAAAGCGGTCCAAAACGTGTAGTGCAGGTAGCAAAGGGCAAGCAACACCGCGACAGAGACACCAAAAAGCTGCACAAGGCAAGCGAATAAGAGCGTGAGTGGAAAAGCAGGTTCAGCGAAGCAAAAAGCAAGAGCAGAGAGAATCCAGAGGCAGAGCTTGGTAACAGAGCGAAAAGTAATAAGAGTTGGGAAGAAAGAGGAAGAAATTCGTTGAGCTGGAAACGTCTATTTTATTACCAAGAGCACGTCACCCCATTTCATCCCATTTGACTAATCCCATGTCATGATCCTTCTCAATTGCAGTTGGAATGGGTAAACAAGTATGTCTAAACTATCTTTATATGACTTGCTAATAAAAGGGTATAGGTGTGGTAGTAATAAGGTGGTATTGTTAGGTGTAGCTGTATTATAGTCATACCGCAGCAATAGCCTTTGCACCCCTTGAACACCGCCCCTTGTCATATAATGATAATAAAGAATACGTTTATGAAAGCGTTATGAATGGTGGTGTTGTTTATTGTATGCGTGTGTGAAGGGCAGAGACTAACTTCCTTGTGTGGATGTAGGTGTGTACTCGTCGTCTTCTTGCTGCTTCTTGCCCATTCAGACCCAACGCCGCAATCGTGGTTCGACATGGAAACCCTCATTAGCAACTGATGTATACGAAAGGGGTGTATGAAGGTGAGTAGCGTGTTGTTAGCGTGTAATAGCCAACTTGCCTTTCTTCGTTGTGTGTGTTGATATGCTTGTCCTTTACAGCTTTCCTGGTTCAGCAATGGCGACAATGGCAACGTTCAGGAGGAATGGAGAAAGAGATGCTATACAAGGGTGGCAACGGATACTCTGTTGACAAGGCAAGTAAGACCACTTGAAAGGTTTATGGCAAAGGGATAGGTTGGCATTCTATCTCGGCGACCTTCTTACAATGAACAATAGCAATCTTGATCGGGAAAAGCTTCGGGCACCACAATTCCGCTCTCGGGCACCACAACATTCCACGTGATTTTGGGTTGCACGTGACCCCTTGGGCACCACATTGCCTATGCTGATCCCACTCGGGCACCACATCCATTAGAATCATTTAATGCTTGTATGTATGATACTAGCCATTCACAAACACTTATATTGGGGCTATCATGTTAATAGGAAACGTTAATAGGAAATGTTCATATTTATTGTTGTTTGGTAATATTGTTTGCATACGAAGTGTTGTAGCTTGATTTGGTGATGACTTCGGTTGATGTCGATGTATGTTGCATAAAAAACATTGAAGGGCTTAATGGCATAAATATACTAGGGCTCGATAATAATAGTTGCAGCATGTATCTCTTCTTCTGTAAGCTTAGGTTTTGAAGGCTCTCGAAGGCCTTCATACATGATGACTTTGCTTGAAACAAGCTGCTGCCAAATCATGCTACTTGCAGATGCATAACGTTTCCATCCATGAGCTATCTTTGGAACAGGCGATCCAGGTTTAAGGTTGACACTAACAAAGTGAGAGCGAGAGCCAAGAAGTGCAATTGCAATGCCAGGATTACGGTTGAGGGGACATGCGTCTGGCAAGAAAGTGAAGCATTCATGTGGGGAAAAATAGTACAAGGGTCGTTCAAATGCATTAGCAAGTACATAACCTGCCAAAGGCATCATCATCCATTTCGATGTATCTTCTACGCACGAGCCATTAAACCAATGTAGGGATGTCGCCAATTCATCATAATCGGATTCAAGGCCAAAGAGCTTGCGATAGTGATCGGGACGGGATTGTAGTTCATCCAAACAACGACGACGGATAAATGGCCATTCTTCTTCATTCATCTCTAAGCCAACAGCATATGCTCGGAATCCACAGTTACCATCAGCACGAACATTCCTCATTGAAGATATCCAATCAACCATGAAATATGGTATATCCTCTGTTCTAATACTGGCAGCAACGAGGGAGTCGTTAGCTCTTTCTGCTGCTTGCTTCCTAATACATACATACTTAGTCAAAAATGCAAGGTACATATTATGGGATCTTTTCGTACACTTCCTGCTTCAAATTAAACACCACTCGGATTTTCTTAGGAGGCTGTTCATGTGGTGTACTTTCTGATGCTGGCCGTTTCCCCTCGTTTTCATCATCTTTGGGACACTCATCTCCATGATCACTCACACTTGATTTCTCTCGCTCCTGTGCCTTGGAATCAGCTGGTACCGGTAAGCGTTGGGATCCCTTGGGGCGCCCACGATGCTTCATTTTTTGAGGAGGATTGAGATCTTCAAGTGCGGTGGTAGGAGCATCTAAGATACTTTGCAATCTTTCAAGAATCCTACGTCTCTCTTGATAATCCCTCGCCTTGTTAATCTTATCTTGCAATCGATACAAGATAGCCAGAGAGTTGTTATCAGTGGCAATGTTGACATCCGCATTGCTGTTACTTGTAGTACATGCATCCTCATCTTTTTCATTCTTGCCATTTGCAATCTGGAGGTCTTTTTTCTTCATGTCAATATGTTACACGATCAAATTCACAGCTTAAAAACAAACCTGCAGTATGCTTATCCAAGCATAAATGCCATCTGAGATGTACAAGCGATATTGGGATAGGCTCGGTCGTTGGCAGAATATGATAGCATGGTATTCCAAAATTCACACGGATCTTGCAATTACATGCCAATGGCTGGGAATCGCTTTCACTTGGTTCGATAGGTTTATCCACCTTATCCTTCTTGCCCACCTTTACAAGCTCTTTCTTGATCTTATCGACGGCATATTGCGATACCTTCCCAATCAAATGCTGTAGCTTCTCTTTTACATGCTCTGGCATGAAGTGATCATGGGCCATTTTGTTTTTCTCGATGGCAATGCTTTCGTTCTCATTCTAGGTAAAGTCGTGTTAATCATGTTCAATATCATAATAGCTCATAGTTTGCTTATGATTTTATTGTACCTGTAGCCTGATAAAGCGATCAATCTCCTTGATGCCATTGACGAGCGTGCCTGAGGCGGTAAGAAACTTCTTGATGGTTGCATGAGCACCTTCAACACGGTTGGTAGTCGTACATCCAAGATGGAAAAAGTGACATGTGTGCTTGCCAACCCAAAGCTCTTCCACTTCAAGCATTCTATGGATGAACAATTTAACCTTAATCTCATAGTTGTTCTTTCGATAAAGTTCTCTAGCGCTTACCTATCCAAGTACTTAACGATTTCAGTCGACTTGCTACTGGTATTGGCAACTTCCAAGAAATCAGATTTGGCTTTTTGGTATGATGATTCATTGTCGGAGCAGATGAGACCATCAACAGCTTTCAGTAATGCCTTATGCTTTTCAACATCGCCATCAAATCCTTTAAGGCAGTTCTTTGGAAGTTTTTCCTAATGTGAACGGTGCAAAGCATAAATGTTGTATCCCGGTAAGTGGTCTTGATAGCACCAACAAGCGATGGATCATAATCAGTTACAATAACACCGGGGACCTTGTCAACGGGTTTCCAAATGAGATCATGGAGCTCCTCTGCGACCCAAGTGTATGATTCCTTTGTCTCGTTTGAAATCCATGCACCAGCAATTGCAAATGTCTTTAGCTGCTCACTTTTGGATCCTACGTTGCTAACACCAACGACATTGACATATGGCATCTTGTACATATTTGTCTTATATGTAGCATCCATGATTACTACCTCTGAAAACCTTTGTGCATTCTTAATGCAGCTAGGATGGGCAAAAAGGAGGCTTGTAAGCTGTTTGTTGCTGTTGTATTGGTAACGGACTTGATAACCTCGTGCATGCAGGTACTGTCCCATATACGCCATATTACAACCATTGCTGTTTTCAGAGATGGCTTCACGATTCTTGATATTGGATACGTCTTTAGGAATCATTATCTGGTTGCCGTCCATGTCACGCAAAGCATCGCATATATTTGATGGTGTCGCCTTTGCTTGAATCATTTCTAGTACACGTGCGAATTGGTCTTCTGTTAACTTGCGATGCTGATGGAAGATTCGGTAATTGTCAACCATGTCGTGGTTATGCTGATCATTTATAGACCAAGCTTCCCAACATCCACTCTTCGTTGGCCTGGCCTTGATTAGGAAAGGGCACTCCTTACGCCAGGAGTCACGCTTGATCTTTCGAGTCTCTTCGGTTAGGCCATGGCAGTTTTTTGGTTGTCCACCGCAACGGCATTGTAAATGCATATGGCGTTTACTAGAGTTCTTGGTCGTGACACAGTAACCTTCAGCTTTGGCAATGATTTGAGCAGCATCATATAGCTGTTTCTTGGTATCAAAGAGACGATTGTATAGCAAGGACATGTTATTACAATAGGGAAAACAATCACTATTCCAAAATCACCTTGATGTCACAACATTTATTTAGTTTTTCAATACATGCTTTCTTTATCTAAAAAAGGATACTACGAACATGCAACTAAGGGTCATACATACAAGCATTGAATGATGCTAATGGATGTGGTGCCCGAGTGGGATCAGCATAGGCAATGTGGTGCCCAAGGGGTCACGTGCAACCCAAAATCACGTGGAATGTTGTGGTGCCCGAGAGCGGAATTGTGGTGCCCGAAGCTTTTCCCATCTTGATCCAGTGACATGATCACGTGAAATTGCAGCAAGATGAGAGCATGAAAAGATGTGGCAACTTCTACCGGTGGTATGTATAAAACGCAAACAATATCCAAGGCATATCTCGCCGAATGACAATCAATGGATTAAAATAGGGTGTTCTTCAATCAATATCATTGGATTTGCGGTACCTGGCAATATGGATACGTTGGACGGTAACAAGCATGGGACGTGGACCACAACGATGCAACGCATGACAATGACTTGTTTGATCTCCTTGAAAGGTGCCACAACACAATGCGGCAAGCGTTTACGGCATCGTATTAGATCCTGGTGGTACAAGATGTCTTTGGGTACATTTTCTAATGGTGATTCTCCATCGCGTGTAGCGGCTCATGGATTCAAGTATCATGCGTGCAATTCCGTTAGGAAAGAAAAGCTATGTTTGGACGATGGTGAGCCCTTGCGGTATGCTTGTTTCAAGACATCAGGATTGGATGACACGCATTTATCGAATCTCGAGGCAAGGGATATTACACGCAAGCAAAATGGATATGGGAAGAGCTGTTCGATATACGATCATGGTAGGCAATCCGCATTGGCATTTGGCAGTTGTAGTAGGATAGTTTTTCAGCGCTTTAAAATAAAAGTTGGATAAATCAAATTAAGGAGATGGGGGACCACAAAATGAACACGATCCAATCTTAGAGCACATACATTCTGTCACTCACTTTTATGTTGAGCGCTCATTGCCCCACAAAGATCAACCAATGGCTATATCCTTCTGGTCAAGAATCATCGTCCAATCCAACAGCTATCGGATAGCGCCAACATTAATCGTTACATAGGACTCATTATACAATGTCACCAGCGTTGCTATCGGGCGGATTGATTAGCCCATAGAGATTCTGCATGACCATAGCTTAATCATCATCTGCCAGCTGAATGGATACAAGAAGCCATTTATATAGAATGTTAGCTGTAACCCACTCCACGTAATGTAAAACAACATAGAGTCAAAACACGTTGTAAACGAACTTGCATTCTTCTTTTTAGGTTTAGTGTTACTGTTCTTGTAATATTTGCTAATAAAGATAGTGAAGTTTGCAGCTGGTATAGCAAAGGTATTCCTATGCTGGAAAGTGTCTTTCACTTTGTTTTGCCTTTCAGTAATACCGGATTAGAGATACTTTACACCCTCGCTATCCACATTACCCAAAAGGATGGCGTACAATGGTAGCAGTAAAGAGCAATGATACGTTTTCCATACACCACAATGAGCTACACTCATGCCACAGCATCCAATTTTTAACCATTTCAATAACCACCACTAGCGTTGTATGCGTGTTATAGGCTGTAGCTTCATGACACCGATATTGGCTTACTACGAATTTGACGTTGCCTTATGACAAAGATTGTTCGAGGTAATAAAAATGATGGGCGTTTGTGAACAACCACGCCTTATAAAAAGATCACTGTATACATGGTTCCTCCTTCGGCGTCATGCTATGGGTTAGGCAGGATGCACACTTGGATAAATGTATGATCGGAGGCGCATGCAACTGAAAGAAGCAACCCATTTAATGATTGAATCGACCATAGATGATGGGTGGTGCAGCTTCATAGGAACGCTACCTGTCGTTATCCTTATCATGTTGGGTTGCTGCCCAAGCGATAAGCGATGATGTTACGGATAGCGAATTGCAGCCTCTATGGCCTAATGAGATAGGGCTTAAGTAAGCAAACATTGAACCTTGATCGGCGCACGTCCATCTTGGATTAAAAAGACTGCTTCCTTTTACTATGATGGCCCATATAAGTATCCTGCGAGACAATGCTTTTATGTTCAAATACCAGATTTCATATTAAGTTCGCTTGTGGAGTTATAATAGAAGGTCATGATAATAGATGGATACATGCAAGCCCATGTTGATATGTAATTTGAGGACCGCCTCCAATCACCCATAACGATAAAGCGAGCAAGGCTGATTCAATCATTCACGCGAGAGCACTGAGGAACATCGAGCTCCATCCTACCCTCTACTACTTGGTGCTACTATATAGAGAAACAGTGGTTTTTTCACCGAATACCAAATTTGGGTCCATATTGACTTGTGGGAAAATGATCAGAGCATTGCCGCTCGAGCACATAATGCACAAAGTATCCTAATTCCAACGGATGTTGATGCAGCTAGTACCAACAGATACAGAAATCATGGTTTATAACCGAATCCGGAAATACAGGCAAGGTTAACTTGTAGAATAACGAGAAAGTAAGCAAAAACATAGGATGCAGTGATGGGGCAACGTACACATGCTGCGCCTTAATACGTTGGGGTTGCGTATTTTTGTATAAATAGGGGTCGATGAGGGCAAACGAACTTTTTCGTTTTTCTTTCCGCAGCTCTTTTGCTCTCACGGTCATCAAAGGTAAGCCTTCTTTTCTTTTTTCTTTTGTGTGGTGGTATGAGTGGGTGAGTGGTGGTGTGTAGTGTGTAGTGTGTAATGTGTAGTGTGTGTGTGTGAGTGTCTGCTGGTGCCACAGGTAGGTGAATGGGTGGTGAAGAAGAGGGGATAAAAAGGACTATTGGGGCATGCGGATGGGTGGTGAAGAAAAAAGAAGAGGGGATAAAGAGGTATGTGTATGGGTGGTGCGGGTGGTAGTCTGACCACGACTATAAATTGGTCGTCTTCAATGACGAAAACTTGCATCCCGATTACGATGTTAAACCAATCCGTCCGAAATGACGTTAAACTGGGTGCGGATTGCCAATCACCTCCACGTGGTCGCACCTGGAAACCATCTCCATGAAGATGGGCTAAGAATTGGCACATCTAGTTGTTTACTTTTATTAAATAAAGCCTTTCTTGTATACAAAAAGCATCTATTATGGTCATCTTCTTATATAAGTAATACAATGTCTATTGCCACATAGTCTTCTCTTTTATATGTTGTAGTTTTTATATATGAAATAAAGAATCATTGACCGCAGGTAGTGCTAGTAATCATGTGGGTTGCTATGGGAGCAGCTGAAGGGGGGTTGTTGGGTGGCGCTGTGTGTAGGAAGGTGCATGGAGATGGGTGATTTTCATTTGTGTGCATCAAAAGGGTACATCATGTACTCAGCTTCTCCTTGCTTGGTTCTACCCGGACTCAACAAGAACACGATCGCAATTCGACATTGGGAAGAGCTCATTAGCAAACGTTGTGTGGTAGAGACGTACTCATAAAGGTGTGTAACCTGTAAATGTAGGTTTGTCTTTGTTCGCTGTATAAGCTGATATGGTTGTCTTGTCACAGCTTTTTGGTTCAGGAATGTCGACAATGGCAGCAATTGGGAGCATTGTGGAAGGAGATTCTGTTCAGGAACGGTAACGGGTGGGGTGTGTATGGCATAGGCATGACGACGTGAACGCTGTACAGCAAAGGGCCATGTTGGCATTTTATCTCGACGACCTTCTTACAATGAACATTAGCAACCTTTATCCCGCAATTCAATCACGTGTTGGCAATCGAACGACAGAGCATGAGATGATCTTTCGACTATGCGAGATGGTATGTGAAAAGCACAGTACGCTAGTGGACCATAGGATGATGATTAATGGCTGAATACAGGATCCTCAGCAATCGTGGTCATCGGATGGATTTGTACCTACTACCTGGCAATATCATGGTGCACGGCAACAAATGTGACATTGTCATGTGAACGGATACAATGAAAATCATATTGGGTATGCGTTTGCTCTTCGTCAAACATGCTAGAACACACCTTACCAAGGGTTTACATTCATTGTATTGAGGCATACGGATTCTTCACTCAAGCGTTAGATTCGACTCGATGTATGAGGCCATCATGGATTTGGGATTGCGTACTGGTGGATGCTATCAATAGGCGGTTCGCCAGAGGTATTAGGATAGCTTCGTGGTCCATCAAAATAAAAATTTGTTGTTATTCTCTATAAGGATGCACGTGGATTAAAAGGTATCATGCATGCTGCATCATGGGCAGCATCGATGGCAATTGAATGCTAATGATTCGTGCATATGCTTACGTCTAATGCAAAGTATGATCTACTATAATAAATCGGGCATGCTTTATTATGCATGAGCTTATATATGTATGTATGATATTATTACAAGTAGTATTATTACAAGTAGTAAACTGGTTTAGAGACCTGGCAAGGCATTGATGACCACCACCAGTCCATGGATGCTCCTACCACCAAAGAGCAACGTCTCCATAATAAGGTTACGAGAATGCAAGCCGCCATCTTTTTTCCACCGCATGTCCGTAAATGCGACATCCACTATCATATGTTGCCGGTATCAGTATTCATGCTGGTAAGGGATAATCCGCATCCTTCATACTTACAATGTCCTTGCCAATACACATTTTTACTGTTCCATCGCTTGGTCATTGATAGAAATCATCCTTCATCCTTGCTTCACTCCCGAGTGCTCCTTAATGTCCTTGATTGGGTGTTGTGTCATCGACTTGATATGCCCCCACTGGATTGAAAGCAGCTTTGATGTGCATAGTGATCAATCTATGGATGATGATATTAGCAATAGCATGATAAAGAAATGATCAGAAGGTACTTACCGATTGTCATGTAGAACGCGTGTATACTTTTGAGTATCGTTTCACTTGTGCCAATGTAAGGCCGTTTATGGTCAAACACCGATTCCAGCGTGATCCAAGTTCTCCTAGCACAGTTCTTGCAAGTCCCACTCTTCTTCTTTTTTCTTCTTTTCTTCTTTTCTTCTTTTTTCTTTTGTTTCTACGTACGAGCCCACAATGAGAACCCACTTTTCATCCTTTATAAAGCCAATCATATACGTACTTCTTTTTTTCAGGCTCTCTTGATTTTGATGATATTGAATGCCAATCCTTGTTTGAGTGATGGTCGAGATTGTTGAGCAGATTCAGCACGGCACCCAACGGCCAGGCGACTCTTAATCGGTGGACGCACGGTGCCCTGTGACCCTGAACGACAAAGCGATACATATCCTCCAGACCGGTCTTGATGCCATTGACGTTTGTTTCTGGGCATGTTTGTTCTATAACAGCTTTGTTAATACATGGACCTCGTATGTCAATCAATCCCCCAAAGGTACTTGCTTTGATGTTTGTGATTGTGATTGTGATTGTGATTGATGGAGCGCTTGATTGAAATGATTGATGAACGTGTATGCGCGTACGAGAGAGAGACAGAGACAGAGAGAGAGAGCCATAGATTGATTTGTCTTCATATATATATGTGGAATCTTGCAATTGCTGTGCATAGGAAATCCGCAATCGATCGCTAGGACCGTTGTGATATGGTACAGACATTCCATGATTGCATCTATGTAATGATATGGTAAGCGTCATGGTAATAGATGGGCTTTGGAACCATATACATACGTTTTCAATGGTCGATCCTTGGTTGGTTTGTTCTTGACTTTGGCTGCAATGTCGACCATGTTGAGTTGGTAATACGATTTGGGTCTTGATCATGTTGTCCGTAACCATGCATGAACCTCCAGTGATAGAAAAAGGTTCAAAGACCACCAGGCATCTTTGGATTGATATGGCTTTGTCGAGAAGATCCAGACTTGAGTGATGATAACAATCGTGGTTGATATTGTGAATGCTCTTGCGACGCCATATGACGTATATGAATTCATTGCCTTTTTTCCCCATAGAGTATAGATGATGGTCCAGTGTAAAGCCATAACAATTGCATTGGTTGCAATTCATCCTCCATTCGAAAGAGTAGTAATCCATAGCATGCTCCAGCCACCACGAGATGAGATGTCCTCGACATACGCTACCATGTATGTGCTGTGAATCGTGACCACCGCCAATAGCCACTTCTGCAAATGCCAATAGTAATCCGCCCCTCATGCCATTGAATTGGAAAACCTTGATGATGCCGAATTATAACAGGAAAGCCTCCTCGAAAGATCATTTTGATGCACATGACGCCAATGCGATGCGATGTCAACATAAAGAGACGCCTGCAATTGTGCCTTGGTTCCCACATGGGTCATAAAGACATCGTCATAGTTGCGTGTTGCCAACCCATCCATGTAATAAATGGCACCAGTGTCCAAAAGACCATTGTACATTAATCCATCCTTGATGCCATAGGTATCAATCTTCGCAATTAAAGCCATAACAATCGTGACATGATCAATGCCATGCGTTGCCATCCGTGTCATTCTTTGTCGGATGTAAAGCGCAATAGGGCAATTCCTCATTCTGTTGCTGCTGCCACCATAATGCCAAAAAACAGGAGGGTGGTGAGCTGCATCTTGATGCCATAGCCATGTATCGTATCATATAGAGGAGCACCAACTACGGAAACAAGCAGGATCGTATGCACGTGGATCAAAGATAACAGCTGCATCGCAACCAATCGCCTCATCGAATAAAAGAAAATGAAGCCCTTGTGCCTTGTTGCCATACTGATAAATGCCCAAATCCAGTGACACCACCAAGTCGTTTGAAAGAGACCCCGCTGTGCCATCACCAATGATGATAAATGACCCTCATAGGTAACGTCGCCAATAGAAGCGAAAAGATCTTGTCTCCTCTGTAGCCATGGCGATAAATGTGTCCCGCCAATAAAATGAAAAACAATTCCTTGTGCCTTGTCGCCTTGGTGATCAATGCGTTGAAATTGGTAGCGATGCCAGTAGGTTGAAAAGCAACTCCTTTGCTCTGTCGCCATGACAATGCATGTGTCCAAATAGGTAATAGCGTGAATAAGACGCATGCGATGCCATGTCGTTGCGTTGTAGCCGTGGCGATAAATGTGTTCAACTTGACAATAGCACCGATCCAGTATTCTCGAAAAGAGACACCTTTTGCGTTGTAACCATGATGATAGCCTCTTGATATGTAGCAATGCCAACAAAAGGAGCGAGACAAAGATTGAGACTTGTAACCATGGCGACCAATGTATTCAGCTTGGTAATGGCACCAGTAAAAAGAAAAGAGAACCCTTGCGCCTTGTTGCCATGACAACGATGGCTCGATACGATTGCACCATCGATAAAAAGAAAAGAGAATCCCTGCTTGTGTCCAATGGTATCCACCAAATGCCCAAGATCCGGATCGGTAAAGACACCAATAAAAAGAAAAGAGAACTCCTGTCCTCCGCGACAACAGCCGCTGCTGATACCAATCGCCCTAAAAGGGCCCAAGGCCTATTGTGAAGAGAGACATCCATTAGAATCTTGAAAAGACATAGCCATTTGTGCTTCAATACATACCATAGCCAATGACCATAACCTGTTCACAGGGATACCCTACAGAACCAGAAACAAGACGTGGCATGTCATCCCAGGCACATCCAACCCCATGTGGAGAGCGAAAGGAATCAACATGCAGGCCTCTTTCCCACCCATGGATCCTTCAAAGTCTTATCCTCTGCACCAAGGGCGCCGGATCCAACGACGTCCAATCTTCACCAATCCCCAGGCTATGATGCCTTGCCCACCGTGTCTTGATGTTCCTTTGCAGATACCCACTTCATAGATGATTCCCGCTTGTGCCAAAACATGATCATCCAACATGTTTTGGCGGTATTACTATGCAGGGACACATCACAGTAACAATAACCATGATGGTCCCCACAAGATAAAGCAATAATAGTAAGTAAATGGGTCATAAAACAATTCCAGTATTTTGACTTACCCTTTCAAGACCAAATCATGCACCTCAGTGGGTAACGTAGCAACTAGACCATGAGAGGACGTAGGAATGCAAGGTCTTGTACATAGCAAACTGGATCATGGATACCAATTGGACTTCTCGTTGGCTCTTACAGCACCCAAGGTAGCGTCATCGATGACCCTCCAGATCCTCCCACCGCGAGACCTACATGCCGACCCTTTCACTCAACACACATGAAGCTGAACGTACCTGAGAATCATCCACGCTTGAGACTGGACTGCAGGGCATCCCATCCGTAACCGTAACATGTCCCAAAGAGAGACGCGAAGACAATTGCCTCCTACTAGGAAGAAGCTGCATCGAACAAAGCCGATGAAATGAGACGACCACGAGCCACCTTCAAATAAAAGCCAATGTGAGCATAATTGTAATCCATATCGTGTTACGAACTTACCGAACAATTAGAAGGCCTCGTATTCTTCATAGACATACTGGTCTTCTTCATTGTTGTGGTCGTCAAGTACATAGCCATAGGCATCGTCATCTTCATCGTCATAGTCATAATTATAGCCATAATCATAGGCATAATCATCGCCACTGTCATCGCTATCATCATCGTCACCATCGTCGTCGCCATCATCATCGCCATCTTGATCATCATCGCCATCATAATCGCTATCATCATCGTCATCCTCCTCCTCCTCTTGCTCTGGATCAAAATCCAAGTCTTCAGTGGCTACTGCAAGCCAAGCAGCAAATTCAGCCCATGCCAATTGCTGCTCTTGCTGGCTTTGTTGTTGTTCACCAGGTGATTGCGGACGTGGTGATGATGAGGGTGTGGTGTTGCGGATGTTGGTGGTGGTGGCAGCGGTAAGAGATGGTGAAGGGGTGGCGGAATTAATGGTGGCAGGTGTTGTAGTAGGCATAGTTGTAGCGGCAAGAATTGGAGATGGCATATTGATGGCGGGAAGAATAGGAGAAGCCATAGTGGTGGTGACCGTAGTAGGAGACGTAGTGGTGGTGACAGGGACAGGAGATGGCGTAATGATGGTGACAGGAGTAGCAGGAGGCATATTGGTAGCGGCAGGAACAGGTGAAGGAATGGTGATGGTCATAGTAGCGGTAGGCATGGTAGTAATGGCAGCGGCAGTATTGATGGTGGCAGTGGCAGTATCGGTATTGGTGGTGGTGGCGGTATCGGTGGTGGTGGTGGTGATAGCGGTAGGAGTGACAATGGGATAAAGGATTGTGTTATCAACCTCCATATGGCTGGGCGTTGGTGATGGTGGAGGTGATGTTGGTGGTGTTGCGGGTTGAGGAGGAAGTTGAGGGGAACGCGTATCTAAATGATAGCCATAAATTAGATATGTAGGTTTATATAAAGGATTTCTAAAATTCACACTTACCGATCTCAATAGGATCGTCAATATCGTCATTGTAAAGGAAGGGAGAGTTGTTGTATTCAGGCTATCCATCATACCCAATAAAGATCCAACATGTGTGTCTTAGACTTGAACAAATGATATCTCACATTCATCGGTTGCCACTTGGCATCAGGAACACCGATACCTCACACACATCCTGAACCTCTAGCATTATTACCTACAGCCTAACAGATCTAATACCGCACCATGAATGGTGCGTCTACCGTCGTCTCATCTCAGCTAGTTTCACTCCATAGAATATAAATACGCATGTATCGAGCATATCTTAAATACATGGATTATCTTCGTATCACTGACTTATTGTCTACCTTTATTCCTTGCTTGATACAACATTACCTTTATTCCTTGCTTGATACAACAAGAGTCATCCAAACGCACCGACATAACGGACAACAAGTCATCGTCTAAAAGCCATCATGCCATGTGAGTATAAATGTGATGCAGCAATACAATTCATGTGAGTAAAGGTATCACTTACCAACTGCCATCACATCAATAGGCTCCACATAGCGGCGATCAAAGGGAGGGGCCATGTGGGTGTCCTCATCAAAAGGATCATCGACACTCATGTACCGGAAAAGGACGCCTTTATAAGAGTCATTGTTAGAAACTTGTATACTTAAGAAAGTAAACGGATCAATGTGTACTTACAGAGAAAATCAATGTCATCAACATCATGACCACCAAAAGCACCATCTTCAGCACCAGCACCAGCAACAGCGTCTTCACCAACAGCGTCATCACCAACACGAGCAACAGCGTCTTCAACAACAGCGTCATCACCAACAGCACCAGCACCAGCGTCATCACGAACAGCAGAAGCGTCATCATCACCACCATCAGCAACAGCGTCATCACCAACAGCAGAAGCGTCATCATCACCACCAGCAGCAACAGCGTCATCATCAACAGCGTCATCATCACCACCAGCAGCAACAGCGTCATCATCAACAGCTTGATCATCACCACCAACAGAATCGACAAGACCACCAAGAGCAGAAACGCCACGAACGTCTTCGTCAACACCAGCAGAAGCACAATCGTCAGAAGTAGCCAAAGCAACAGCAAGAGGAGCAACACCAGAAGAAGCAACGTCATCAACGGCACCACAAACAGCACGAACACCATCACGAGCGACAACAACAGGACCATCACCAACAGCAGCGTTTGGGACAACTTGGTCACCGGCAGAAACAACAACATCACCAACAGCAGAAACAGGAGCACGAGAAGGAGCAACACCAAGACCAGCACAGCAACCAGAGACAACTTGGTTACCCTCATGGACACAGGGAATACCAGCAGGACAACGGAAAGAAGGAGAAAATCGTACAGCGTGATAAGAGAGGACTTCAAGACCTTCAGCACGAGACGAGAGACAAGTAACAACAAGGCCAGCCAAAGGTGGGCGTTCAGGCGACTTGAGGTTCAAGGTTGAGTTTGCTTGAGGCAAACGGTCCAAGGGACGAGGGTTGGTAAAAGCCCAGCACTTCTTGACGAAGGCAACAGAAAAGCACTTCTTGAGGAAGGCGACAGAGAGGCACTTCATGACCAAGGCAACGGAAAAGCACTTCTTGAAGAAGGCAACAAAAGAAGGCCAAAAGTGAGAAAGAACGTAGCCAAAGGCAAACGAGAACGCGGCAGGGACACCCAAAAGCTGCACAAGGCAAGCAACAGGAAACGCAAGAAGAAGAGTAGGTTCAGAAAAGCAGAGAGAGATAGCAGAAAGCGCGAAGCAAAGCATTGTAGCAGGAGTAAAAAAGTTGGGAAGAAAGAGGAAGAAATTCGTTGAGCTGGAAACGTCTATTTTATTACCAAGACGACGTCACCCCATTTCACCCCATTTGACTAATCCAATGTCATGATCCTTCTCAATTGCAGTTGGAATGGGTAAACAAGTATGCCCAAACTATCTTTATATCACTTGCTAATAAAAGGGTATAGGTGTGGTAGTGTTGTTAGGTGTAGTTGTATTATAGCCATACCGCAGCAATAGCCTTGACCCCTCTCAACGCCCGCTTCTTGTATATGATGATAATAAACGATACGTTTATGAAAGCGTTATGAATGGTGGTGTTGTTTATTGTATGCGTGTATGAAGGGTAGCAACTAATTTACTTGTGTGGTGTAGGTGTGTACTCGTCTTCTTCTTGCTGCTCCTTGCCCATTCAGACCCAACGCCGCAATCGTGGTTCGACATGGAAACCCTCATTAGCAACTGATGTATACGAAAGGGGTGTATGAAGGTGAGTAGCGTGTTGTTAGCGTGTAATAGCCAACTTGCCTTTCTTCGTTGTGTGTGTTGATATGCTTGTCCTTTACAGCTTTCCTGGTTCAGCAATGGCGGCAATGGCAACGTTCAGGAGGAATGCGTAGAGAGATCCTGTTCAAGGGTGGCAACGTATAGTATGTTGATGGTGCAATCAAAACCACTTGAAAGGTGGGCAGCAAAGGGATTCGTTGGCATTGTATCTTGACGACCTTCTTACAATGAACAATAGCAACCTTGATCCAGTGGCATGATCACGTGATGTTGAAGCAAGACGAGGCATGAAACGACGTGTCAACTTCTGCAGATGGTATGTATAAAGCGTAACATAATCCAAGGCATATCTCGCCGAATGACAATCAGTGGATTAAAATAGGGTGTTTATCAATCAATATCATTGGATTTACGGTACTTGGCAATATAGATACATTGGATGGTAACAAGCATGGGACGTGAATCGCAACGATGCAACGCATGCCAATGAAATGACTTGGTTGATGTCCTTGAAAGGTGGCACAAGACAATGCAGCAAGTAATTACATTCATCGTAAGAGATCCTGATGGTATCTACACGATGTCGTTGGATACATTTTCTAATGATGATTCTCTACCGCATGTAGTGGCTTCTGGATTCAAGTATCATGCATGCAGTTCCTTTAGGAAAACAAGATAATTTGGATGATGGTATGCCCTTAGGTATGGCTGCTTCAAGATATCAGGATTGGATGGCACGTGTTGATCGAATATCGAAAGAAAGGTCATTAGATGCAAGCAGAATGAATATGGTAAGAGCTGTTCGATATATGATCCTGGTCGGCGATCCGCATTGGCATTTGGCAGTTGTATTAGGATAGTCTTTCAGTGCTTTAAAATAAAAGCTGGATGAATCAAATTAAGGAGATGGGGGACCACAAAATGAACACGATCCAATCTTAGAGCACGTACAGGCTGTCACCCATTTTTACGTTGAGCGATCATTGCCCCACAACGATCAACCAAGGGCTTTATCTTTGTTGTCAAGAATCATCGTCGGATCCAGCAGCCATCGGATAGCACCAAACATTATTCGTTACATGGGGCTCATTATACGATGTCACCAGCGTTTGTATCAGCGTCGAAAGTTTAGCCCATAGAGATTCTGCCGCATGATCTCTTAATGCTCGTCAGTAAGCTAAATGGATACAAGAAGCCATTTATATAGAGTATTAGCTATACCCCATTCCTCGTAATATAAAAGGACCATAGAACCGAAACATGTTGATTACGAACTTGCATTCTTTTTTAGGTTTAGTTGTATTGCTGTTGTTTCGTATGGTCTCTTGTAGAAAGATAGTGAAGTTTGCAGCTTGTATAGCAAAGGTATTCCTATGCTGGAAAGTGTCCTTCACTTTGCTTCGCCTTTCAGTAATACCGGATTAGAGATACTTTACACCCTCGCTATCCACATTACTCAAAAGAATGGCATACAAAGGTAGCAGTAAAGAACAGTGATACGTTTTCCATACACCACAATGAGCTACACTCATGCCACAACATCCAATTTTTAACCATTTCAATAACCACCACTAGCGTTGTATGCGTGTAATAGGCTGTAGCTTCATGACACCGATATTGGCTTACTACGAATTAGACGTTGCTTTATGACAAAGATTGTTTGAGGTAATAAAAATGATGGGCGTTTGTGAACAACCACGCCTTATAAAAAGATCATTGTATACATGGTTCCTCCTTCGGGGTCATGCTATGGGTTAGGCAGGATGCGCAGTTGGATAAATGTCTGATCGGAGGCGCATGCAACTGAAAGAAGCAACCCATTCAATGATTGAATCGACCATAGATGATGGGTGGTGCAGCTTCATAGGAACGCTACCTGTCGTTATCCTAATCATGCTGGGTTGCTGTCCAAGCGATAAGCGATGATGTTACGGATAACGAATTGCAACCTCTATTGCGTAATGAGATAGGGCTTAAGTAAGCAAACATTGAAACTTGGTCGGCGCACGTCCATCTTGGATTAAAAAGGCTGCTTCCTTTTACTATGATGGCCCATATCAGTATGCTGAGAGACAATGCTTTTATGTTCAAATACCAGATTTCATATTAAGTTCGCTTGTGGAGTTATGAGAGGGAAGGTCATGATAATGGATGGATACATGCAAGCCCATGTCGATATGTAATTTTAGGACCGCCTCCAATCACCCATAACGATAAAGTGAGCAGGCAGATTCCATCATTCAAGCGAGAGCACTGAGGGACATCCAGCTCCATCCTACCTTCTGCTACGTGGTACGAATATATAGAGAAACAGTGGTTTTTCACCGAATACCAAATTTGGGTCCATATTGACTTGTGGGAAAATGATCAGAGCATTGCCGCTCGAGCACACAATGCACAAAGTATCCTAATTCCAACGGATGTTGATGCAACTAGTACCAACAGATACAGAAATCATGGTTTTATAACCGAATCCGAAAATACAGGCAAGGTTGACTTGTAGAATAATGAGAAAGTAAGCAAAGACATAGGATGCAGTGATGGGGCAATGTATACATGCTGCGCCTTAATACGTTGGGGTTGCCTATTTTTGTATAAATAGGGGTCAATGAGGGCAAACGAACTTTTTCGTTTTTCTTTCCGCAGCTCTTTTGCTCTCACGGTCATCAAAGGTAAGTCTTCTTTTCTTTTTTCTTTTGTGTGGTGGTATGAGGGGGTGAGTGGGTGAGTGGTGGTGGGTAGTGTGTAATGTGTGTGTGTGAGTGTCTGCTGGTGCCACAGGTAGGTGAATGGGTGGTGAAGAAGAGGGGATAAAGAGGACTATTGGGGCATGTGGATGGGTGGTGAAGAAAAAAGAAGAGGGGATAAAGAGGTACGTGTATGGGTGGTGCGGGTGGTAGTCTGACTACGACTATAAATTGGTCGTCTTCAATGACGAAAACTTGCATCCTGATTACGATGTTAAACCAATCCGTCCGAAATGACGTTAAACTGGGTGCGGATTGCCAATCACCTCCACGTGGTCGCACCTGGAAACCATCTCCATGGAGATGGGCTAAGAATTGGCACAGCTAGTTGTTTACTTTTATTAAATAAAGCTTTTCTTGTATACAAAAAGCATCTATTATGGTCACCTTCTTATATAAGTTATACAATGTCTATAGCCACATAGTCTTCTCTTTTATATGTTGTAGTTTTTATATATGAAATAAAGAATCATTGATCCGCAGGTAGTGCTAATAGTCAGGTGGGTTGCTATGGGAGCAGCTAAAGGGGGGTTGCTGGGTGGTGCTGTGCGAGGTAAGATGCATGGAGCTGGGTCACTTTCATTTGTGTGCATCGAAAGGGTACATCATGTACTCAGCTTCTCCTTGCTTGCTTCTACGCGGACTCAACAAGAACACGATCGTAATTCGACATTGGGAAGAGCTCATTAGCAAACGTTGTGTGGTAGAGACGTACTCATAAAGGTGTGTAACCTGTAAATGTAGGCTTGTCTTTGTTCGCTGTATAAACTGATAGGGTTGTCTTGTAACAGCCTTTTTGGTTCAGGAATGTCGACAATTTCAAGATTGAGGAGGAATGTGCAACGAGATTCTGTTCAAGAACGGTAACGGGTGGGGTGTGTATGGCATAGGCATGACGACTTGAACGGTGTACAGCAAAGGGCCATGTTGGCATTTTATCTCGACGACCTTCTTACAATGAACATTAGCAACCTTTATTCCGCAATTCAATCACGTGTTGGCAATCGAAGGACAGAGCATGAGATGATCTTTCGACTATGCGAGATGGTATGTGAAAAGCACGGTACGCTAGTGGACCATAGGATGATGATTAATGGCTGAATACAGGATCCTAAACAATCGTGGTCATCGGATGGATTTGTACCTACTATGTACCTGGCAATATCATGGTGCATGGCAACAAATGTCACATTGTCATGTGAACGGATACAATGCAAATCGTATTGGGTATGCGTTTGCTCTTCGTCAAACATGCTAGAACACACCTTACCAAGGGTTTACATTCATTGTATAGAGGCATACGGATTCTTCACTCAAGCGTTAGATTCGACTCGATGTATGAGGCCATCTTGGATTTGGGATTGCGTACTGGTGGATGCTATCAATAGGCGGTTCGCCAGAGGTATTAAGATAGCTTCGTGGTCCATCAAAATAAAAATTTGTTGTTATTCTCTATAAGGATGCACGTGGATTAAAAGGTATCATGCATGCTGCATCATGGGCAGCATCGATGGCAATTGAATGCTAATGATTCGTGCATATGCTTAAGTCTAATGCAAAGTATGATCTACTATAATAAATCGGGCATGCTTTATTATGCATGAGCTTATATATGTACGTATGATATTATTACAAGTAGTATTATTACAAGTAGTAAACTGGTTTAGAGACCTGGCAAGGCATTGATGACGACCACCAGTTTTCGAGAGCTCCTACCACCAAAGAGCAATGCCTCCATAATAAGTTAACGAGAGCTGCAAGCTGGCCTTCTTTTCTCCTCAGCGTTGTCGCTAATTGCAGCATTCACTTTCCTATGTTCCAGGTATTAGTATGCATGCTGATAAAGTGTGATCCGCATCCTTCATACTTACAAGATATTAGCAATAGCATGATAAAGAAATGATCAGAAGGTACTTACCGATTGTCATGTGGAGCTCGTATATGCTTTTGAGTATCGTTTTCCTTGTGCCAATGTAAGGCCGTTTGTGGTCAAACACCGATTCCAGCGTGATCCAAGTTCTCCTAGCACAGTTCTTGCAAGTCCCACTTTTGTTCTTTTTTTCTTCTTTTCTTCTTTTTTCTTTTGTTTCTACGTACGAGTCCACAATGAGAATCCACTTTTCACCCTTGATAATGCCAAACATATACATACTTTTCTTTCAGGCTCTCTTGATTTTGATGATATTGAATGCCAATCCTTATTTGAGTGATGGTCGAGATTGTTGAACAGATTCAGCACGGCACCCAACGGCCAGGCGACTCTTAATCGGTGGACGCACGGTGCCCTGTGACCCTGAACGACAAAGCGATACATATCCTCCAGACCGGTCTTGATGCCATTGACGTTTGTTTCTCGGCATGTTTGTTCTATAACACCTTTGTTAATACATGTACCTTGTATATAAGCCGATTCCACCAATGATACTTGCTTTGATGTTTGTGATTGTGATTGTGATTGTGATTGATAGAGCGCGTGATTGAAAAGATTGATGAACGTATATGCGCGTACGAGAGAGAGATAGAAAGAGAGCCATAGATTGATTTGTCTTCATGTATATGTGGAATCTTGCAATTGCTGTGCATAGGAAATCCAGAATCGATTGCCGGGACCGCTGTGATATGTACAGACATTCCATGATTGCATCTATGTAATGATATGGTAAGCGGCTTGGTATAGATGGGCTTCTGGAAGCATATACGTACGTTTTGAATGGTCGATCCTTGATTGGTTTGTTCTTGACTTTGAGTGCAACGTCGACCATGTTGATTTGGTAATGAGATTTCGGCCTTCTGCATGTTGTCCGTAACCATGCATGAACCTCCAATGATAGGAAAAGGTCCACAGACCACAGGCATCTTTGGATTGATATGGCTTTGTCGAAAAGATCCAGACTTGAATGATGATAACAATCGTGGTTGATATTGTGAATGCTCTTGCGACGCCATATGACCCATGTGTATATGAATTCATAGCCATCGTGATCACATCGAGTGTAGATGGTGAAAAGATCTGATATAAAGTCGTAGCATGTGCATTGGTTCCAATTCGTGCCGCATTTTGAAAGCATAGCAACCAATAGCATGCTCTTGCCAACGCGAGATGAGATGTCCTCGCCATCCGCTACCATGTACGTGCTGTGAATCGTGACCACCGCCAATAGCCACTCCTGCAAATGCCAATAGTAATCCGCCCCTCATGCCATTGAATTGGAAGAACTTGATGATGCCAAATTGTAACAGGAAAGCCACCTCGATAGATGATTTTGATGCACATGCCGCCAATGGGATGCCATGTCAACATAAAGAGACGCCTGAAGTTGTGCCTTGGTTCCCCCATGGGCCATAAAGCCATCGTCATAGTTGTTTGTTGCCAATTCCAAGTGATAAATGCCACCAGTGTCCAAACGTCCCTTGTGATAATCTATCTTGATGCCATAGGTATGAATCTTCGCAATTGTAGCCATAACAATGGTGACGTGATCAAAGCCAATGCCTTGCTCAATGCCATTGCGTTGCCATCCATGTCATTCTTTGTCGGATATAGAGTACAATAGGCCAACTCCTCATCGTGTTGCTGATGCCACCATAATGCCAATAAAACGAGCGCGTGGTGAGCCGCATCTTGATGCCATAGCCATGTATCGTATCACAGAGAGGAGCACCAACTACTGAAACACGCAGGATCGTATGCACGTGGATCAAATATAATAGCTGCATCGCAACGAATCGCCTCATGGAATAAAGAAAATGAAGCCCTTGTGCCTTGTTGCCATGCCAATAAATGCCCAAATTCAATGACACTACCAAGTGGATTGAAGAGAGAGACCCCTCTGTGCCTTGAACAACGATAATAAATGACCTAATAGGTAACGCCGCCAACAGAAGGGAAAAGGTCTTGTCTTCTCTGTAGCCATGACGATGACCGTGACCCGCCAATAAAATGAAATCAATTTCCCGTGCCTTGCCGCCTTGATGATAAATGCGCCCAAATTGGTAGCGATGCCAGTAGAATGAAAAGAACTGCTTTGCTCTGTCGCCATGGTAATGAATGTGTCCAAATCGGTAATAGCGCGAATAAGATCCAATACAATGCTGTGTGCCTTGTTGCCATGACGATAAATGTGTTCCACTTGGCAATAGCACCGATCCAGTATTCTCGAAAAGAGATACCTTTTGCGTTGTAGCCATAATGATAGCCTCTTGATAAGTCGCAATGCCAATGAAAGGAGCGAGAGAAAGCTTGAGACTTGTAACCATGGCGACCCGTGTGTCCAGCTTGACGATAGCACCAGTAAAAAGAAAAGAGAACTCTTGCGCCTTGTTGCCATGACAATGATGTCCCCATTGATAAAAAGAAAAGAGGAGCCCTGCTTGTGCCCAATGGTATCCACCAAATGCCCAAGATCCGGATCGGTAACGACACCAATAAAAAGAAAAGAGAACTCCTGTCCTCCGCGACAGCAGCCGCTGCTCATAACAATCGCCCCAAAAGGGCCCAAGGCCTATTGTGAAGAGAGACATCCATTAGCATTTTGAAAAGACATAGCCATTCGTGCTTCAATACATACCATAGCCAATGACCATAACCTGTTCACAGGGATACCCTACAGAACCAGAAACAAGACGTGGCATGTCATCCCAGGCACATCCAACCCCATGTGGAGAGCGAAAGGAATCAACATGCAGGCCTCTTTCCCACCCACGGATCCTTCAAAGCCTTATCCTCTGCACCAAGGGTACCGGATCCAACGACGTCCAATCTTCTCCAATCCCCAGGCTATGATGCCTTGCCCACCATGTCTTGATGTTCGTTTGCAGATACCCACTTCATAGATGATTACCGCTTGTGCCAAAACATGATCCTCCAACATGTAAAGGCGGTGGCACTATGCAGGGACACATCACAGTATCAATAACCATGATGGCCCCCACAATATAAAAGCGGCATTTGTAAGTAAATGGATTATAAAGCAATACCAATATTTTGACTTACCCTTTCAAGATCAAATCAAGCACCTCAGTAGGTAACGTAGCAACTAGACCATGAGAGGACGTAGGAATGCAAGGTCTTGCACATAGCGTACTGGATCATGGATACCAATTGGACTTCTCGTTGGCTCTTACAGCACCCAAGGTAGCGTCATCGATGACCCTCCAGATCCTCCCACCGCGAGACCTACATGCCGACCCTTTCACTCAACACACATGAAGCTGAACGTACCTGAGAATCATCCACGCTTGAGACTGGACTGCAGGGCATCCCATCCGTAACCGTAACATGTCCCCAAGAGAGACGCGAAGACAATAGCCTCCTACTAGGAAGAAGCTGCATCGAACAAAGCCGATGAAATCAGACGACCACGAGCTACCTTCAAATAAAAAAGAATGTGAGCATAATTGTAATCCATATAGTGTTACGAACTTACCGAACAACTAGAAGGCCTCGTATTCTTCATAGACATACTGGTCTTCATCGTTGTCGTGGTCGTCAAAAACATAGCCATAGCCATCGTCGTCTTCATCGCCGTAGTAGTAGTCGTAGCCATAGTCGTCACCACTGTCATCGCCATCTTCATCATCGTCATCGTCATCACCATCGTCATCATCGTCATCGTCATCATCAGTGTCATCGCCATCTTGATCATCATCGCTATCGTCTTCCTCCTCATCATCATCCTCTTGCTCTGGATCATAATCCAAGTCCTCAGTGGCTACTGCAAGCCAAGCAGCAAATTCAGCCCATGCCAATTGCTGCTCTTGCTGGCTTTGTTGTTGTTCACCAGGTGATTGCGGACGTGGTGATGATGAGGGTGTGGTGTTGCGGATGTTGGTGGTGGTGGCAGCGGTAAGATATGGTGAAGGGGTGGCGGAATTAATGGTGGCAAGAGTAGTTGTAGGCATAGTGGTGGCGGCAAGAATAGGAGATGACATAGTTGTAGCGATAGGAGATGTGGTTGGCATAGGGATGGCGATAGGAGCAGCGGTAAGTGTTGGTGAAGGTGTTGCGGAATTAATGGTGGCAGGTGTTGTAATAGGCATAGTTGTGGCGGCAAGAATAGGAGATGGCATAGAGGTGGCGATAATTGTAGGAGACATAGTGGTGGTGACAGGAACAGGTGAAGGAATGGTGACGGTCATAGTAGCGGTAGTATTGGTGGTGGTGGCAGTGGCGGTATCAGTGGTAGTGGTAGTGATAGGCATGGTGGTAGTAGTAGCGGTAGGCATGGTGGTAGTGGTGACAGCGGAAGGAGTGACAATGGGAGAAAGGACTGTTGTATCAACCTCGATATGGGCGGGCGTTGGTGATGGTGGAGGTGATTGAGGAGGTGTTGCGGGTTGAGGAGGAAGTTCAGGAGATGGCATATCTAAGTAATAACCATAGGTTAGATAAGTAGGCTTGTATATAGGATATCCAAAATTCACACTTACCGATCTCAATAGGATCGTCAATATCGTCATTGTAAAGGAATGGAGAGGAGTCCAAACGGACCGACATCACCGAAAGCAAGTCGTCATCTAAATGCCATCATTGCATGTGAGTATATACGTGATTCATCATGACAATCCATAAGCGTGAACGTTTCACTTACCGACTTCCATCACATCAATGGGCTCCACATAGCGGCGATCGATGGGAGGTGCCATGTGTGTGTCTTCATCGAATGGGTCATCGGTAGTCAAGTACCGGAACAAGACACCTATAAGAGTCGTTGTTAGAAGTTTTTATTATTAATGGAGTGTATGTTTAGATATATATATACTTACAGAGGAGATCAATGTCATCAATATCTTCTCCACCAAAAGCAACGGCTTCATCTTCATCACCAACGGCAACAGCGACATCATCAGCACCAGCAGCAAAAGCGTCATCGTCACCAAGAACGGCATCATCAGCACGAGCACCAGCGTCATCACCAGCAGCAAAAGCGACATCATCAGCACCAGCAGCAAAAGCGTCATCGTCACCAAGAACGGCATCATCAGCACCAACACCAACAGCGTCGTCATCACGAGCAAGAGCACCAGAGTTATCACCAGCAGCAAAAGCGACATCATCAGCACCAGCAGCAAAAGCGTCATCGTCTCCAAGAACGGCATCATCATCACCAAAAGCGTCATCGTCACCAAGAACGGCATCGTCATCACCAAGAACGGCGTCATCATCACCACGAACAGCGTCATCACCAACACCAAGAGCTTCAACATCACCACCAAGAGAATCGTCAACAACAGCAACAGAAGAAACGGCACGAACATCTTCGCCAGCATCAGCATCAGGAGCAACACCACGAGAAGCAACGTCAACACCAACAGAACAAGCACCAGCAGAGACAACAACAGGAGGAACACCAACAGCAGCATCAGGGACAACTTTGTCACCTGCAGAGACAACAACATCACCAACAGCAGGAGCAGGAGCACGAGAAGGAGCAACACCAAGACCAGCACAGCAACCAGAGACAACCTTCTTGCCATCGTGAACACAAGGAACACCAGCAGGAGGACGGAAAGAAGGAGAAAAGCGAACAGCGTGAACAGAGAGGGTTTCAAGACCATCAGCACGAGACGAGAGACAGGTAACAACAAGGCCAGCCAAAGGTGGGCTATCGGGCGACTTGAGGTTTGAGGTTGGGTTTGCTTGAGGTAAACGGTCCATAGGACGAGGGTTGGCAAAAGCCCAGCACTTCTTGAAGAAGGCAACAGAAAAGCACTTCATGGAGAAGGCAACAAGAGAGGACCAACAGGCAACAAAAGAAGGCCAAAAGTGGGAAAGAACGTAGCCAAAGGCAAACGAGAACGCGGCAGGGACACCCAAAAGCTGCACAAGGCAAGCAACAGGAAACGCAAGAAGAAGAGTAGGTTCAGAAAAGCAGAGAGCAATAGCGGAAAGCGCGAAGCAGAGCATTGTAGCAGGAGTAAAAAAGTTGGGAAGAGAGAGGAAGAAATTCGTTGAGCTGGAAACGTCTATTTTATTACCAAGTGCACGTCACCCCATTTCACCCATTTGACTAATCCAATGTCATGATCCTTCACAATTGCAGTTGGAATGGGTAAACAAGTATGTCTAAACTATCTTTATATCACTTGCTAATAAAAGGGTATAGGTGTGGTAGTCTTGTTAGGTGTAGTTGTAGTATAGCCATACCGCAGCAATAGCCTTGACCCCTCTCAACGCCCGCTTCTTGTATATGATGATAATAAACGATACGTTTATGAAAGCATTATGAGTGGTGTTGTTTATTGTATGCGTGTATGAAGGGCAGAGACTAATTTACTTGTGTGGTGTGTGGGTGTGTACTCGTCTTTTTCTCGCTGCTTCTTGCCCATTCAGACCCAACGCCGCGATCGTAGTTCGACATGGAAGCCCTCATTAGCAAGCGATGTATGAGAAAGGGTGTTTATGAAGGTGAGTAGCGTTGTAGTAGAGTGTAAAAGCATAGTTGTCTTTCTTCGTTGTGTATAGTCATATCCTTCTCTTTTACAGCCTTCCTGGTTCAACAATGGCGACAATGGCAACGTTCAGGAGGAATGGGGAAAGAGATCCTATACAAGGGTGGCAACGAATACTCTGTTTAGAAGGCAAGTAAGACCACTCGAATGGTGTGTAGCAAAGGGACATGTTTACGTTCTATCTCGACGAGCTTCTTACAATGAATACTAGCAACCTTTATCCAGCGATCTGATCACGTGATGCTACAGCAAGGCGGTAGCTTGAAAGGGATCTTTTAACTTTGGGAGAATGGCATGTATAAAGAACAAAAATATGGAAGGGATGGGAAGGAAACATTGAATGATAACGAATGGGATTACAATAGGATCAGCTTCAATCAATATCGTGGGCTCTATTGTATCTGGCTTATGGATGCATTGGATGGCATCAAGCATGGCATGCAAATCATAAGGATGCAACGCACAATGGTGATCAGGCTCTTCTTGCTCAAGGGTGCCACAAGACAACAGAGAGAGCGGCTACATTGATGTATTGGATCATGGCAGTACACGGCTTCGTGAGCTGTATTTTCCTTTATGGTATGTATTTCTTTTAGATTGACATCGTTTTACTCATGCACTAACGAACATCTACGTGGTAGTATGCCTTGAGGGTCTTTATGGTTGATCCATATTGGAAATCAATTTTTTATACGATGGCACATTCACGATTGACCAACATGTACTGGTGCAAAGCTCAACAACTCAACAAGTTCCCTTTATTCCATCCATTGGTCACACACATTGCGATGGTTGGCTGCTCTCATCAAGGCTCTACCTTCACTCCATGTCGTCTTTTCAGCATTTAGCACCACTTTACAAATTGGCTGGAAACGTCGGTTGCGTGGTTACGGTATCATGGAAACAAGTGCTTTTGGTCAGTGGTACTCTTTTCGTCATCGGCTTTTGCACATCAGAACTCTAAACAACTTGTACGCTTGCCGATAGCTCCTCAAAGCAAAACGATCATGAATACGTGCTGTGGTAGCTGGAGATTTGGATATTGAGGTCGATAGCTTTGCCCATTTAAAAGGTATGCGATGTGGCCATTGGATATGGACGTCCTCTCAAATAACCAACGAATCTAAAAATCCTGCATAGAAACAACTTCGCATATGTATCTCAACGTATTGGTACGTGAAGTATCTTGTGGGGGAGGGGATGCTTCAATGCTACAAAGAATGATTAATTGTTTTATGTTCCTCACAATCTTGGATTTTATTCTTCAGGCAATTCGTTTGGTAGTTATAGTAGGATAGCGATGGAGCCCTTTAGAATAAAAGTTGGATATCCCAACAATTGTGGTGGAGATACTCACAAGTCTGGCCCAAGAGTTCTTATTGAACTTTTTCTTGCTGCAACAAAAGAAATTTGATGAAGCTCTTCAACAAGGTGTTCTTTTCAAGGATGGATGGAACACGCATTATCCTTGCAGCTCAATGGGATCAGATGCTGATATCGCTCGTATTCGTCTTACATCTCTTCCTCCTTCACCCCTCGCATCACTTACTCTCGTTACAACTGCGATGGATCCTCCCTCTGATTTCTCCTCATTATGCCGACCCCGATCTTTCCCTTGTTGACCCTTATTTCCGTTTTTGTATCCAATCTTTTTGTAATACCCTATCCCCTGTCATCCCCATTTTATTCCCTGAAAGACGTTCCAATTCATTATCCTCCCTAGGCCACTTCAAGACACTTTTTCAAGCATGTGACAAGTTACAACTCAAAGTCAATTGGGATCAAGCTACGCATCACACTGTGCTGGATTTTCCTCTCACAAGTATTTGTACTTTTGCTGGTAATGCTGCTGAGGCTCCCTCTCCAACATGGAGGCATTTTCTAGTACGCGACGCATACATTCTCTCCACACGAGCTTGCATACTACGTGCTCCGACTCATCGTGAACGAACAAGCAATCGTTACAACATCGCTCGTTTTCACAAAGCTACGTCATCGAATGGTCATTGGAGGATTAAGCCTTTTCTCCTCAAACTCATTGGTACTACCCCCTCTACCCCCACCCCGCTCAATGTCACCTTTGATTTTTATAACTTGGTGTCACCCATCACTCGCTCTGGTCTCACCATCGACAACTTCAAGCGCAAGGATTTTCGATACAGCTTCTTACCGCCTCTTCAAGACTTGCCCAATGATTACCCTCGTGCAACTCCTGGTGCATGGTATCGTTTTTGGAATTCAGCCCATATCCCTCATCGTGCTACAACAGTCCTTTGGCGTCTCCTACATCACCGCAAATCGTCACGTGCACGTTTACATCGTCTCATTCCCACCTCATGCAAATCCAACTTATGCCTTCTTTGTGAAGGGCATGTTGATGCCGTGATTGACATCACTGAAGCGGACAAACATTTCTTTTTCGCTTGTCCTTTTGTTCACGAAGTATGGCGCATCCTTGCAGCTCAATTTTCTCTAAGCTCTTTGGTTCAGTGGGATCACTGTGATGTTTCAAATAAAGAAGAGAAGAGACAAGATAAATCCTTTAGGACTCGTGTGTATGTCTTTATGTATAAAAGATCAAAAGATGAAAGATGATGGTTTCTAGCTGCTTGATGGATGCTTATTTATACTATTCTATTGTTGTTGTTGACATGTCATGTGCTTCTAAGGAACGTTCGAATGTGTAGTGGAAAGGTCTATTCTATGTTTCTAGGTATCGTATCCATAAACAATTACAGAATACAACAATCACATCTCTACCTTGTCGAGAATACCACCGCATCCAACCTCTGACACCCGTGTTACAGACTCCACCATCATTGCTTGCGGTGTGCTGGCCATATGGAAGGCCCATTGGCAATTCATCTACAATGACGAGCGTTTTCAAGCACAGGCTGTTGCTGCCAAGGCTGCAACCTCCATACTTCAAATTGAACAAGAGCACAACCTCTTAGCTAGAAATGTCTGAATGTCTTCCATCTTCTTCCCCTATCCCTTTTACACAACATCTACATTAAGATGTTAATAAATACCATTTACATACCAAATCTTACATCTCTTCCTCGTATGCCCATTCCTGCTCTTTTGGATGGCCTCAAAGACAGCTTGAGACCATTTGGCCGAGTTCTTGATGGTGAATCGGTTTCGCAAATGTTTATGGGAGAGGGATTTGCCATTTTTGGACCAAACTCCATCAGCTGATACGACAACATCATGGCCTATATAGTAATGCGATCTTGGGCTGCTGTAATACTCAACCGCCCTAAGAGCTGAGCATCAACTCACACAAGCAACAACGTATACGATGCAATGAACCGATTGCAAAGGAGCCTTATGGGAAAGAAAGAGCTCTTGTTTATTGTTTGCATTTAACAGGCTTATACAGGACATGCACTCTCAACGGCGCTAATGCAGGAGAGTGTTAGAGATACGACCAGTAGCGGACACTTCACAACACCTACTTTGTGTCATACCATCACTTCATGCCAAACGAATGGACCTTTCTATGCAACATGGAAGAAAATGGAACTTGACTGTGGTAGATGCCATCAACCTGGTCATCATGTACGCCATTGTCCTGATAATCCACAAAGGAATCGTGCTTGCTATAATTGTGGCGTTATTGGCCATATAGCTGCAGATGGGCCAACAAGATCAACCTCGACTCGTGGTGCGACACCCAAAAAGAAGAGGAAAGCACGCAACCAATCAACATCTCTTCCTGGCATTACACATGACCCACAAGTTTTGCCAACAAAGCAACAATCAACATCTCTTCCTGGCAATCAAGTGAGAGAAGTTAAACGCGGCTTGAAGATTGATCGTGGCATTGGAGGCATGCAAGATGGATACAATAATGCTGAGATGTTGAAAGTTAGCGACTACCTCCTTGTTAATGGTCTTGAATCGGATCTTCGAGAGCGTATGACGTTTCTTTTCAACCATTTGGTGCTTCTCCATGGTGATGACACACATGATCCACAAGTTTTGCCAACAAAGCAACAATCAACATGGATAAAAATCCCGATCTTCTCCACATGATTGATCCCACTACCAAAGTACCTCGATTTTGGTATCGGTCTTTGCATGCATCGGATCCAGCCAAAGAAAAAATCTCGCCATCCACAATTGAGAAACAACGTGCTTTTAAGCAGTATCTCAAGGAACAGGCGCCTCATCTCGCTCTTCGACTCATTGGCCAAGGGCTGTCGGCGCAATCTGAAATCAACAATATGGAACAATCATCTGGTAACGCTTTGGGTCCTGAGCAGCATCAGGGCCCCAACTCTACGTATCAATAATTTTATCACGTTAAAAGACAACATACTGAATTTATCCTCTCTCAATTGTAACAGCCTACGTAAAAACACCAATACATCAGCCAGGGACTCTCTCATCAGATATCTCCGGCAGCATCCTTCTTCACCACACATCATTACTCTTCAAGAGACAAACGCTATCGATGACTCAACAAAAACAACATTCAAGCTATGAAAGCCTGTCAACGTTGGCGTGAGAAAGGCGAGATCTCAGCAGGGTATCTTAAAAAAAATAGGCAATCACGCACAAAACACTCGCATGATCACTTCTTTGGTTCTTCCAGCTGCAGGAAATACGTGTTCAGAAACCAACGATCTACATGACGCAGCAACTACATTTTATCAAGATCTCTATACACCTTGATGATGGCGCATTCGAAGAACTACTCTCTGCTAGCTCTTTACCTTGTTTATCATCTTCATGGCAAGAAGATTTGGTGAAGGATTGTACGATTGAAGACCTTCAAAGTAGTCCTGGACCTGACGGACTACCTTATTCAACGTGGTTCATGGTGTTTAAAGATCCTCATTACTACGACCAGCTCTTCAAGAAGGCGTTTACCCATCTTCATGGAAAGACACATGTGTTACTTTGTTACCAAAAAAGGGGATTTGCAATCATTGCGCAATTGGAGACCGATCTCCCCCATCAACACTGATGCAAAGATATTTACACGTTTATGGAATGCTCCTTTGGTTCAAGCTGCTGATTCTTTGATTAATCCGCTTCAGACATGGTTCCTACCAAAGCGCTTCATAGCAGACAACGGCATGCTGGCCAAATTGGCAATGGATCAAGCATATGGTCATGAGTCTTCTTCCTCCATAGCACAACTGCTGGATCAAGAAAAAGCTTACGATGGCATTCATCCTTTGTGTCTTCATCGAGTTCTTTCATCATTTGGCATACACGATTCCTTTATTGTCGCTATCACTGATCTTTTCTTTTTGACACCCATACGTCTCAATATCAACGGTCATCTCTCACCAGCTTTCCAACAGCAACGTGGATTACGGCAGGATGATCCGATTTTCAATCTCGCTATTGAACCACTCCTTCGTGCCATTTTGGATGATTCTTCTTTTCAAGGGATTACGTTTGAATACAGCTCCGCAAGATTCATCACCATTGCCTTCTTTGCCAAATTTGAAGCGTCAAGCCTATGCCGATGATATCATGACATTTGGTGCGCCACAATTGAAACATGTCTTCTTGCCGGATGAATCTCTTGGTCTTGTACGCTGTCGCCAGTTGTTGTTGCTACTTGATCTTTGCATACGATAGAGCATCGTACATAGTGTATCAAGATCCATTGGTGTCACCCCATCGCTACGAAGATATTGAGGTGTGCTGGTTGCTTGTTGGTTGACGTTTGTGGATATGTCCCCTGTATGTGCACTTCCCTTTTCCTTTGTACTCCTCCTTTTATTTACTATAAATGAATGCGCCTCGCCAAATAATAAAAGCATCATTTGATGCTCGTTCTCATGGACACGATCATCATCCTTAGAAAAGTAGCCATACTCCCTATAAAAAAACACTTAACAAAGATTCATAATGTATAATACAAAAGATGATTGCTATATTGACTCTCGGCTGTATACGACTATGCTATGCTATATGAATACTCTAATATCCTTAAAATGCTCATGTACTATGTCGTGGACATCTGAGCACTCCGGTGAACAATCAATGATCAGCGATTCAAGAGGCTTGCATTTTAGCACATGAACCAAATCTAATACATCCAAGCCATAGCCCAATTCCAAATTCGCAATATCGAGGCATTGTAAATGGCGCAATACATTCTTGGATATGCCTTGATCACCGAGTAGCTTCAAACGTGAGAATCTATGATGCCGTTTCCCAAATCTTTCAAGTATTGGACCAAATGAATGATCGCTTACGGATCCCTCACGTACGTCAATCGTAAACTTATCCAGCTGAACTAAATCGCCAATGTTGTATAGCAACTGGGTTGTGGAATCATCATCCTCCAGGCAAAAGTGCAACGAAAGGCTGGTTAAGCTTGATGATTGGCCGAGCGTAATATAGTAATCCACGATGCTATGTAATGATTGGATATGCACGCTGTTCTCGAGATGCATGGTGAAAGCTTTTAGATGTGAGAATGGCCCATGGTCTGCATTTCCTTGTATCGAGATAGTGTGCGGGATTGTTTCCATCAATAAAGTACACAGGTCAATCGATCCATCATAGACGTAATCATGAAGATGCAACGAGTTGAGTTTGGGAAACGACATGTCCATGACGCCTGGATACACCAATGATGACGTATTCAATTCCCCTGAAATGTAGATTTCTTCAAGTGTCTCATGATGTCTCTCGAGTAGCGCCATAAGATCACATGCATTGAATGTAGTAGGCTGACAAGCACCAAGGTGGAGTACCCTTAATCCTGGAGTCGAATTGGAGGCGTAAAAGTCGTCGTATGAATCAACATCTGAAAACTCGCCGTCATCACAAGACGTAGCATAGCGAAGATAATGGAGCGATGGGCAATAATCATGTATCATTGGCAATGCCTGGCTGGTCGTACAACGGAAGAGTGTAAGAGCTTGTAAAGAAGGAAAGCGCTCCAAGAGATGAATCACCGCCTCATGTTCCATGGCATGGATGGGATGATGGATACGCATTAGGCATAAATGTGGATATACAGTGTTCTTGTCGTTCCACACGTTAACAACAGCACCTGTGACATCCAACGCGTATAAACATGGCGTATGTTGCAATATCTGTTCAAGGTGAACAAGCTGGGTATCTTCATTGATCTCGTATTGGCCATTAATATTCAAAGTCAAATGCGTCAATCGGTCACCAATAGCCATCACTAACGACAAAACATCCGTTGCTTGTCCTCCGGTATGAAACACGTCCTCTAGACACAAGTTGGTTAATCACTCCCATCTTGTATTGGATAGCACACACCTTGACCTGACTTACTGTAAATATCCAATTCCTTCAACGATCTCATGGATGTCCATGGTAATGTGTCGAAATTGTCATTGCCGTTTTCACCAACATAGGATAGTGATAGGCTGCCGATGTATTCTTTATAATGGTGAAATGCATCATCATCCCCTGCTGATGTAGCCTGTACGCGATAATGCAATCGGCCTGATCGTAAGAGTCGATCTCGCCAAGTAGTCGAAACATTGAGATACGGCCATGGATCATTTACTGGATAACGTCGTTGTCGTTGTTGAAGGATGATGGGTGCAATGTACTGGTTCACAATATCAAATGGCAATTGGGTGATGAAATCGACACGTTTCTTTTGTTGCAATCTAGCCGCCTCTCTTGATTCGGACAAGGATGGATAAGAAGGATGATTGGATAATGCTGTCTCCATGCCAACCGTGTAAATGTCAATGGCTTCTTGCTGCCTCCCTTGTTGCCTGTAAACATCTCCCATGCAAAGGTATCCAAGAGGTGATTGGGGATCCATATTGCGTATGGCATTCGCATCAAGCAAAGCATCATCAAAGTGAGCAATCGAAGCGTGTATATGGGATCGTCTTTGGTACAGCTGCATGAGGGTGTGCATACAAGATGATATCTCTGCAGTGACATCCTCCAGTTCATTGCCTGTTGTAGTTGTTGCCGTGTAACGATCGATCATTAGACACGTGGTCCTCCCATATTCATTTCCCTCTCTCCTTTTTGTTTCGGCACACCAAACATACCTTGACCTTGTGCATCTCGCTGTCTCTCCATTGTCAGCAACCGATTGTTCAGTGAAGCAACCAATCCAGATGGGGTGAAAACCGGGGAACAACAATGAGCGTAACAAGGTGTTGTTGGTCAACACAGCGAGCGCTTTCCTTTTTTCAAACTCACACAACCAACCTAGACTAATGGGGTATGCGAAGGTTAACGATGGACGGCCCATGCAAGAGACTCGATAGCACCCAATCTCATGTGCAAGGCAATGGAGCATTAGCAGACATTCACTCACTCACCTTTGGCGCGATTGTTGTTGAGGTGGTTCCTGCAAGCACCTTATGGGCCCTGAATATCTTCATATCCGAATACAGCGACAACAATGCACGATGATATGAACGGTCATGTATGAAGCTCATGGATTGTGGTACAAGTGCACAAAAGACACATTGGCAGGTTGAACGTGGGAGATGGATGATCAATGATCAGCAGGATGGACTAGGATGGCATAGCAGAGAAGGACAAATTTGCTCAAGGGATCCAAGGTTACAGAGACATGCTATGTTTCTACTACAAAGCTGGGCCTATGCGGATATGGTAAGTAGTATGGGGAAAGGGAGCAATTGGGTGAGGATGATGATTGACTCATTGACTCATTGCTTTAGGATACACACACAAAAGCAGACATCCCCTTTTACCATCACATTGAATAATCATCATCCTTTATTTATACACATAAAAATGCTTCCTATGATCCCTTTTGCTAAAAATGATAATGATTATGATAATTATCTTCATCCTCAGAATCAGAATCATCCTTGTTCATGTTATTGTAATGTGTGGTTGATATCTTTCTATTGGCGTGTTCCAAAGCGTCTTTAACGACACCTGAGTAGTCCCAAACACCAGTCAATGAAAAATGCTCAAGCGGTTGTTGACGATCAGCGATCCACTTTATGCCTTCTCCGTTGTAGATCTTTTCGGATGTGATGATGGACAATGACTTCAAACTGGATATCCCACTGATGTACTGCCACACACGATTACAGCTGTAATCGAAAGGTATATGAGACAAGGTAAGCGATTGAATACTGTTGGATCGACAAAGACAAGAAAGGGAGGATCCAGTGTCAAAATCGGTAATAGGTTCGACATTTTGCTTGGGGCGACTCAAGTGCACATGGCGTAATGTTGGTACCTTTGCTAAAGCCGATGTCAATGCCGGTGACAATGGTGTTGTTGTTGTTGGGCAGCTGTAGTCTAATGTTTCGAGAGGATGGCCATAGCGTGCAATAGCCACAAATAAACGTTCCATGTCCTTGGCTGAATTAGGAATCCTAATGCAAAGCTTACGCAATTTCTCACATCGTGCCAATGCATCAAGTCCTTGTGACGATAATGGTGTTGATAATCCGATGGATACATTTACCAGGCTTTTTCGTGCTTGTAGTAATGGGATCAATAGACTCGAATGCTGATAGAGTGTCGATACGGGTCCAGGAAAGTCGTATTCAAGCTCTTCAAGATGCGTTGGTGTTGTTGCCACGCGTTGAGGAATAACCGATTGCTTGGCGGTATTCTTTGAACACAAGGTAGCTCGCTGAGACAACTTGATACATCGCAAGCTGTCATAATGTCGAGTGATGGTAGGACCCGCTTGATAAAACAAAGTGCCTTCAGATGCCTGCTTCAAGACCAATTCACGTAAAGAATCATCATCTTGAATGGATCGTCGTCGTGTGTACCGTCTTTGACAAAAGTGATGCCACCATTCCTGTAAGCGGGTGTTTTGTATATTCAAACGATGTCGTGTGGAATGCTGCAATGATTCGAGTAATGGACATGCATCAATGATAGCATTAAGATGAATCTTTGTCAATCCATTGCCATGAACATCCAAATAACGTAAATAGGGGCATCGACGTAGGATGATCATAAAATCAGCAGGATGGAACTGGTTCGAGATAGCCAAACATTCAATATCAGTTGTTGTGGGAATTTGTGTGTATTTCAAAAGTTGTGTGTTGATGTTATTTGGGTTACGTTTGCGACTGATGTAGGAAAGATACTTTAGACCAGGGCAAGCATCCAAGATAGCAACAAGATCTGAAATGTTGGACCCATCCATCATGTCCACTGCCAAACGACGTAAATTGCTGCATTCAAAAAGAGATAGGGCTGTTGCAGGTCTCCATGTCAATGGCAAATGTTGTTCATCGATCCCTATGTTTTCAAGCAAGCTTTTAGTAACAATACACACCTTAAAATCTTAAAACAACATACGAAGGGTATGGAGATGGGGCCAATCATAAGATCCAATCTTAACAAGGGCCATTTCGGTATCATCATCTTTGCTGTTTATCTTTCCACGCATATCAACCTCTCGTACATGACCAGCAATTTGGCTCCAATAGGCTCGCATGTCATAGAGAGTACCAATCGATTCAGCTCTCCACTTTGAATGTGACCATTCAAACACTGATTCACGCCACTGATGGCACACTTTGATGCATTCCAATAAATCGTGATGTGAGATGTGTTGGAATATCTCGCAGCAAATCTCGAATGGAAGGATGTTCATATCAAAGGAATGAGTCATCATAGGATAGACAGCAAAAGGAAAATCAGACATGTTAAAGAAAAGAAGCAGTAGCAACAAAAAGATAGAATGGGGTGTCTTTATATAGTTGCCTATTGTATCCATTTTGGGTTACACTGTTGCCTTGCGCCACACTTTGTTGCCACAGCAACCTTGTAACCATTTGCTGCGGATACGCTTTTATCACATTCCTTGCGTTATCTCCTTGCATGTCATCCGCAGCAACATCATCGTCGTTTTGCCTTGCATGTATTCATTCCGCAGCAAAATGATCCTTTTGACTTGCATGTAATCCGCAGCATGAACTATCGCAACATCATCGTTTTACCTTGCATGTAATCCGCAGCATGCAATGTTGCATGTGCAGGCGATTGCTTTCTCCACAATGACTTGCCATTTATGATGATCCCTATTCATGACGCCATGATGTTGCATTTTGTGGGGAGGCTACTATTTTAAAATGGGGCGTTGATCCTATCATGTGCTGCATTTCTAATCCGGGGATTGTAAAAACGCCAGCCCAACCCTTCGAAGCCAGCTTTACTTTTTCACACAACTTTACACCCATTCACCCATTCCACGCACGCAATGCCCAACAACGCTTAAAGACACGGCGCAAGCAAGTATCATTACACGATCTGAAAAGGGTCATGGAGGGTGTCTGTGCTGCCATTCTAACTTGAGGATCTTAGTTTCGCTCTCACCCATTCAAGATCTACCCGCACCATTCGTCCCCATCTGACCACTGCCACCAGCAAGGTGAATGGCAGGTCTCAAGAGCGTAACGTTACAAGGACAGCTTTGTGTAAGCGAGAATATAGTATGATTGGATGGTTGGTATTTGGGATGCAGTGTGTTCAGTGCTATCATGATCCTTACTCGATCTTTTTTCTTTGCTATAGGATTGGTGCCTCTTTTTCATCATGGTTGCAGCGTATGGATTTCATCTGTGGATAAGGAGATGGCTTTGACCAAAGGGAGTATGTTGAACGGATTGTTGGAAAAACCTTCAATGAAAAAAGGATGGGTTACAGGTGATCATGCATGAGGATAACTTTGTCCCAGGATAGAAGTTTTCTTTGCGCCGTTGGATCCATTAAATAAAGTACCAAAATGATACGTGCATATATATAGAGCTGCTTTGGATACACAAATAAAGAAAGGTACAAGGGTCCTTCCACTCTGAACAATGATGTTACCATTGTGGTTTGCAGAATCTGAATCGGCATGAATGATAATGAATGGGCAAGGTTTTCCCGAAGGTACCACAACAGCCATGCACGCGTGTAACATACACACACACACACCCGAAACACGTTGGCCATACATGACTTGCACCTTCTCTTTTGATAACTTTACCACCCCTTTTTCCTTTCTCATGCAACACCACGACCTATTCCATCGACTGCCGTATGATATCCTTACCAGCATCTTTGATCATTTGGCACGAAACGACATTTTAGAATGCATGCTTGTATCAAGATCATGGAGCACCCATGTCATTCAATACGCTAAAACAGCCTTCACTCATATTACCTTTTATGCCGACAACAAGGACAACACAAATCAATATCATGGCTTGCTTTCTCGTATTGGCCATCATGTCCAATCCGTAGTGGTTGATCAATGCCCCGACGCGATCACGCTTTTGAATATAGTCAACGTCTTGGCTAGCTATGAATGCAAGGATCTCACATCGTTGGGTATGTAACCATTATGCAACAACCGACACACAGTGATAAGGGATGACTCATGACCCACCCCCCTTTTTTATAGAAATACGATATGGGGTTTTAAATGCAGCCATTGTACCACGCTTTAAAGTGTTCAGACATCTCGGGTATTTGACAATCACGTTGCCATTGACCTTGCATGCATCAACATCCTTTGTCCAGAGCATTGTGCAAGCATGCTCATCATCATTGGTATCCTTGACCTGCATCTCATCCTGCTCCGAACATGGTAGTAGTAATTCACTCACCGTGTTGCATGGTGCACCATCATTGCACGGGACCAAAACAAGCCATGTACAACATGTCCATCTCCAGTATCCAAACATTACCATTGGATCGATTATCCCTTTACTTCAACAATGCCCTCTTTTATCAAGCTTGTACGTGAAAAGCATGCAGCATCCGGATATAAAAAAGATCCGTCATCATTGCCCTTGCCTGGTTGATTTACGATGGACGTCCTTGGATACATGTTCATTCTTATACAATCGTGTACAACCATTGATGATGGAAAACAATATCAAGGACAACGTTTTCCTCCATGGATTAGCAATCAATGGATCAGCAGCTCATCTCTTTACAGCTGAGCATCAATTACGGTACCTGAACTTACACATGTCAACATCCAACAACAGCGAAAATGATGATCTCATTGCAATGCAACACCTTTTCACTCATAATGCATGCATGTTGGAAAAAGTGGCGTTGTCAATGAATGCTTTTCAAATGATGAAGTTTATGCCATACATGCATCGATTGAGTCATCTTGATCACGTGCGACTTTGTATTCGACCTTTTGGTGCTATGCGACGTGTTTTAAACAACATGCCAGGAATCCCACCAGATCTACAATCTGGCACTGAGCATACGCTAATGCGGTTATTGGAGTCTATCAAAAAGTTAACAGTGCCCATAGTAGCCTTGAGTTTACAAGGTGTGTTCAAGGTCATTGATCCTAGCCGCAGAATGGGGGTCATTGCATTTACGGTTGGCATGATAGCGCACTTAAGAGAAATTGAAATCCGTGAACATCATCCCTCACCTGATATCCTTGCCTCACTTTTTCATCATGCACAAGAGCTCAGCACCGTATCGCTTGTGGGTGGCGGATTACAAGTAACATACAAGATGTTTTCCATGTTATCCACTTTGCCTCACCTTCAATACCTTCACCTCCAAGGAATCGGAAAAATCAGTGGTATTGGTTTACGTGAGATGGCTGATCAGCATGAAAAAAGCGACCTTCATTGCCAAGTGGTTATGTTGAAACCAGATGATCCCACCGATATCTATGGGAAATGCTTTGAATACGCTAAATGGAAAATGGGTCGATCTCGATTTGAATACAAAGAACGACCTACGTATGAATATTGAAGATGATTGCTTTATTGTACACTTTTATGATGGATCCCCTTACAATAAACAGCTACCCGATGTATACTCGTACAATAGGCACGTCTACATATTCCCTAGCAATGCTACAGGTTCGGGAAATCTCAATGCTCTTGCGTCGTCCTTATTAAACACGTCCACATCGATGTCTGAGACCATGACACGAAGGCCCAATATCAATTGCTGCAGCTTTGGGATAATGCTGGTATCTCATATTGCAGGATGTCATATATAGCGGTGGCACGGGAAATCGTAATAGCTTTAGATTGGGGAAAAGAATGAGATTTGGGCAGGTATTCAGGAGTAATGGGTAGATGCTGTATCACAGGGCTAAGTGGGCTATGATAGCGGTGTGAATTGGATGCATGTTTGAAGGGCTCAGATAAATTTCCATGCGTGTGTGTCAAAAGGGTGCCTCTTTTATTCAGTTTCTCCTTGCTGCTTCTTACTCAGACACAATAACAGCACAATCGTGGCTCGGCATGGAGCCCCTCATTAGTCAACTCCATATGCGCAACGGTGCCAATGAAGGTAAGCAACGTGTCAATAGAGTATAAAAGCCGACTTGCCTTTCTTCGTTGTGTATATTGATATGCGTGTCTTTTCACAGCTTCCTTCGTTCAGGAATGTCGACAATTTCAGGATTGAGGAGCAATGTGGAAAGGGATGCTGTTCAAGAAAGGCAAAGGGTGCACTATTGATGGGTCAAGGAATACGACTGGAAGGTGTGTAACAAATGGTGTCGTTGTCATTCTATATCGACGTGTTTCCTTATGATCGACACCAGCAACCTTTATCCCGCAATTCAATCACGTGTTGGCAATCAATTGACAGAGCATCAGAAGGTGGTTCGAATTTGGGAGATGGTACGTGTAAAGTAAGGTATGCGAGTGGATCATAGGATGATGATTAATGCGTGAAAACAGGTTTAGTGGTTATTGGACGTATTTTCGCCTCGTGCCTGGCAACATGGATATAGTGCATGGCAACAAGCATGACATTGACATGTGAATCGATACAATGCAAGGCATATTGAACATCGGCTTGATCTTCCCCCAAGGTGCACACGACGTTGCAGCAAGCGATTACATGCATTGTATTGGGTCATATTTTACAGGGCGTGACACTTCTCGTTAGTCGCTCTTTAAGGTACGCGTTCAAGTATATTTTCAAGTGGTGCGTTAAGTATTAAGGTGAGCCTTTTTTAGTAACTCGTTGTGGTGGTAGCTGTACTCGCTTAATCATCATCTCCTGCATCCTCCTCAAAAACTTGCCAGCTTGACGGAATTACACCTATCCAGCAAAACTCTCATGACCAATCAGATACGGCTCATGTTGTTCAAGATCTTGGTGTTGAAAATTGTCATTTTGACTAATGGAAAAGGTACGTAACAATGCTATATGGTTTGAAGGAGTTACGAAGACGAAAACGGGTTTTATGAACTTGAATAGATACACAACGCATCGGTACGTGTAAGATATGGGGCAGGAAATGCTTACAAAACAAACCGCGGTTATCAATTCAAGCTGCTGATCATCATCATCATCTTTTCCACAGGCAATGTTCAAAGCACGCATGTAATCTTGGCGGATGGGATTGTTTCAGCACCGGGACAACCAGGGAATGATTGCAAGCTTCACGACAACTTTTAGTCAACACGATACACCTCCAATACGCCTTCATCTTTTGTCTCCATTGTATTACACGATCGCTCCTTTGAATGCTACGAATGTTTTGGAGTTCACTTTTTCTATCTCGAGCTGGCAAAGGCAGTATGATGGTGATGATTTCGGTTTATTAGGTAGGCGTAGATGATGGGCTTTTATGGGCATCCTTGGTCAAGACGATTCATGACATGAGTTTTTTCACTCTATCTTTAGCTTCGACACAATGAATGAGGTCATCACGGATTTGGTAATGGCTCTTGGGATTGCAATACTGGTGGATGATATGCATAGGTGGTTCGCTAGAGGTATTAGGATAGCTTTGTGACCTATCAAAGTAAAACTCTCTTTAGTTTCAATGCAAAATAGCTGTTATTGAGAAGGGATGCGGGAGTACAATGCTGGGTGCTAAACAAGCTAATGGCAGATGCCAAAATGGGAATGTAGCGAAGGCTTAAAAGCATAGCTGCTATATAGAGGCGTGAAGTAGAATATGGGCTGAGTGTTGTCGTAATAGAGAAAAAGAAGTGATTGTTGGTTGAGAGACGCATGGCAAAGATATTTTACGTTGAAACACAATTACGCTTCATACTCGCCATGAAGCTAATAAAAGTATGCTCATTCAAAGCACGCAAGTCGTTATCTAAAGGGATATCAACTATGTCGTTGGGTACTAGCCTTTATCGTCGTTCACCATATCACCTTGGTCTTTGTCGTTATGTTTGCCGCATTCCTGGTGGGATTTATATGCTGTGATTCATCATGCTAGTGTTTGCCACAAACAGAGTACACCTCATGTCATTGTTATTCTCTACCGGGATGAACGTGGATTAAAACCTAATCAAACATGCTGCATCATGGAGAGCATTTTTGGTAATTGAATGCTGATGCTTCATGCATACGCTTAAGCCTAATGCAATGTATGATCTGCTATAATAAAACGGGCATGCTTTATTCTGCATGAACTTATATATGTATGTATGATATTATTACAAGTATGATTATTACTAGTAGCATACTGATTTAGACATCTGGCAAGGCATTGACGATAACTACCAGTCTTCGAGTGCTCCTACCACCAAAGAGCAATGTCTCCATAATAAGTTGACGAGAACGTCAAGCAGACCGTCGTTTTCCGCCACGTTGTTCATAAATACAAGATCTAGTATCATATGTTCAAGGCATTAGAATACACGCTAACAAAGGGTGCCCTGCATCCTTCATACTTACAACGTCCTTGCCAATACACATTTTCCACTGTATGCGTGTTCCCATCGCTTGGTCATATAGAAATCATCCTTCATCCTTGCTTCACTCATGAGTGCTCCTTAATGTCCTTGATTGGGTGTTGTGTCATCGACTTGATATGCCCTCATTGGATTGAAAGCAGCTTTGATGTGCATAGTGATCAATCTATGGATGATGATATTAGCAATAGCATAATAAAGAAATGATCAGAAGGTACTTACCGATTGTCATATGGAGCGCGTATATGCTTTTGAGTATCGTTTCACTTGTGCCAATGTAAGGCCGTTTGTGGTCAAACACCGATTCCAGTGTGATCCAAGTTCTCCTAGCACAGTTCTTGCAAGTCCCACTTTTGTTCTTTTGTTCTTCTTTTCTTCTTTTTTCTTTTGTTTCTACGTACGAGCCCACAATGAGTATCTACTCCTCATCCTTGACAATCCCAATCATATACATACTTTTCTTTCAGGCTCTCTTGAGTTTGATGATATTGAATGCCAATCCTTGTTTGAGTGATGGTCGAGATTGTTGAACAGATTCAGCACGGCACCCAACGGCCAGGCGACTCTTAATCGGTGGACGCACGGTGCCCTGTGACCCTGAACGACAAAGCGATACATATCCTCCAGACCGGTCTTGATGCCATTGACGTTTGTTTCTCGGCATGTTTGTTCTATATTATAACACCTCTGTTAATACACGGACCTTTTATCTCAACCATTTCACCCATTGATACTTGCTTTGATGTTTTGTGTTTGTGATTGATTGAGCGCTTGATTGAAATGATTGATGAACGTGTATGCGCGTACGAGTGAGATAGAGAGAGAGCCATAGATTGATTTGTCTTCATATATATGTGGAATCGTGCAATTGCTGTGCATAGGAAATCCAGAATCGATCGCCAGGACCGCTGTGATATGGTACAGACATTCCATGATTGCATCTATATAATGATACGGTAAGCGCCATGGTAATAAATTGGCTTTGGGATCATATACGTACGTTTTGAATGGTCGATCCTTGGTTGGTTTGTTCTTGACTTTGAGTGCAATGTCGACCATGTTGATTTGGTAATAAGATTTGGGTCTTGATCATGTTGTCCGTAACCATGCATGAACCTCCAGTGGTTGGAAATGGTCCACAGACCACAAGGCATCCTTGGATTGATATGGCTTTGTCGAGAAGATCCAGACTTGAGTGATGATAGCAATCGTGGTTGATATTGTGAATCCTCTTTCCACGCCATATGACTCATGTGTATATGAATTCATAGCCTTCTTGATCACATCGCGTGTAGATGATGAACGATCCAATACAAATCCATAGCATGTGCATTGGTTCCAATTCGTCCCCCATTTTGAAAGCGTAGCAACCCATAGCATGCTCCAGCCACCACGAGATGAGATGTCCTCGCCATCCGCTACCATGTATGTGCTGTGAATCGTGACCACCGCCAATAGCCACTTCTGCAAATGCCAATAGTGATCCGCCCCTCATGCTATTGAATTGGAATATCTTGATGATGCCGAATTGTAACAGGAAAGCCACCTCGAAAGATCATTTTGGTGCACATGCCGCCAATGGGATGCCATGTCAACATAAAGAGACGCCTGCTATTGTGCCTTCGTTCTGCCATGGGCCATAAAACCATCGTGATAGTTGTGTGTTGCCAATCGATCCAAGTGATAAATGCCACCACTGTCCAAACGTCCCTTGTAATAATCCATTCTTGATGCCATAGGTATGAATCTTCGCAATTGTAGCCATAACAATTGTGACGTGATCAAAGTCAATGCCTTCCTCAATGCCATTGCGTTGCCATCCGTGTCATTCTTTGTCGGATATAGAGTACAATACGCCAACTCCTCATTGTGTTGCTGCTGCCACCATAATTCCAATAAAACAGAGCGTGCTGAGCCCCATCGTGATGCCATAGCCATGTATCGTATCAGAGAGGAATACCAAATACTGAAACAAGCAGGACCGTATGCACGTGGATCAAAGATAATAGCTGCATCGCAACGAATCGCCTCATCGAATAAAAGAAAAAGAAGCCCTTGTGCCTTGTTGCAATGCCAATAAATGCCCAAGTTCAGTGACACCACCAAGTCGATTGAAAGACACCCCGCTGCGCCTTGACCAATGATGATTAATAACCCTCATAGGTAACGCCGCCAACAGAAGGGAAAAGGTCTTGTCTCCTCTGTAATCATGACGATAAAGGTGTCCCGCCAATAAAATGAAAAGCAATTCCTTGTGCCTTGTCGCCTTGGTGATAAATGTGTTGAAATTGGTAACCATGCCAATAGAATGAAAAGGAACTTCTTTGCTCTGTCGCCATGACAATGGATGTGTCCAAATAGGTAGTAGCGCGAATAAGATGCATGCAATGTAATGTCGTTGCGTTGTAGCCATGATGATGAATGTGTGCGAATTGGTAATGGCGCCCATCCAGTATTCTTGAAAATAGTCGCCTTCTTCATTGAAGCCATGCAATACGCCACTGGATGTGTAACGATGCCGATAAAAAAGAGTGAAAGCTTGAACCTTGTAACCATGACGACCAGTGTATTCAGCTTGATAATGGCACCAGTAAAAAGAAAAGAGAACCCTTGCGCCTTGTTGCCATGACAACGATGGCTCGATACGATTGCACCATCGATAAAAAGGAAGGAGAACCCTTGTGCATGCCACCAAATGCCCATGACCCCGATCGGTAACGACACCAATAAAAAGAAAAGAGAACTCCTGTCCTCCGCGACAGCAGCCGCTCCTGACGCCAATCACCCCAAAAGGGCCCAAGGCCTATTGTTAAGAGAGACATACATTAGCATCTTGAAGAGACATATCCATTTGTGCTTCAATACATACCATACACAGTGACCATAACCTGTTCACAGGGATACCCTACAGAACCAGAAACAAGGACGTGGCATGTCATCCCAGGCACATTCAACCCCATGTGGAGAGTGAAAGGAATCGACATGAGGCCTCTTTCCCACCCACGGATCCTTCAAAGCGTTATCCTCTGCACCAAGAGCGCCGGATCCAACGACGTCCAATCTTCACCAATCCCCAGGCTATGATGCCTTGCCCACCATGTCTTGATGTTCCTTTGCAGATACCCACTTCATAGATGATTACCGCTTGTGCCAAAACATGATCATCCAACATGTAAAGGCGGTGGCACTATGCAGGGACACACCACAGTATTAATAACCATGATGGCCCCCACATCATAAAACGACATAAGTAAGTAAATGGATCAAAAGACAATACCAATATTTTGACTTACCCTTTCAAGACCAAATCAAGCACCTCAGTGGGTAACGTAACAAATAGACCATGAGAGGACGTAGGAATGCAAGGTCTTGTACATAGCAAACTGGTTCATGGATACCAATTGGACTTCTCGTTGGCTCTTACAGCACCCAAGGTAGCGTCATCGATGACCCTCCAGATCCTCCCACCGCGAGACCTACATGCCGACCCATTCACTCAACACACATGAAGCTGAACGTACCTGAGAATCATCCACGCCTTGAATCTGGACTGCAGAGTATCCCATCCGTAACCGTACAACGCTCCAAAGAAAGAAGCCCGAAACAATCGCCCTATAAATGATGTGGAAGCATGTTAGTAATAGTTGGAAATATAGATAGGCAATGCTCGCTTACCAGAAGGCACACAAAAACCCACTCAATCAAATAGGCCAAGGGCCTTTTGTGCTTCCAGCACATCGGAGGATAATGGTGGGGATGTTGCGGTTGTGGTGGTAGGAGGTTGTTGTTGTTGTTGTTGTGGTGGTGGTGGTGGTTGGGCGGATTCAAGACGTGATGAATTTGTGGCGGAATTAGATGATGATGAGGAGGATGTCAAGCGGGAAGAAGAAGAAGAAGGTGTTGCGATTGCTCGTGGTGGTCGTGGAGGAGGTGGTGGCATATCTGGTCGCACAATACCAGTGGAAGAACGAGTGGAAGTGGTGGTCGATGTTGATGATGTGGTAGGTGGTGTGACGGTGAGAGTGATGCGTCGTGGTCGAGGTGGTGGTGGTGGCATAGTGGTATTGACCAGAGGACGAGAGGAAGTGGTAACCGTGGCAGTAGAAGAGGATGTTGCGGGATTAGATGATGGTGTTGTGCGAGGACGGTTTGATTGGCGGAGTTGTTGGATGCGTGCTTGAATGAATGACATGGCGGGATTAAGGACAGTACGAGGAGGAGAAGTGACAACAGCAGTAGCGGAATGAGTGGTGGTAGGAGTGATATCGGTGGTTGTGGTTGTGATGGTAGCAATAGGTGTGGGCATAGTCGTAGTGTTGGTGTCGGTATTTGTGGTGGTTGTGGTGGAAGCGGTAGCAGTGACAATAGGGGAAGTGAGTGTGGTATCAACCTCCATATGAGTTGGCGTAGGTGATGGAGGAGGTGATGGAGGTGGCGTAGCGGGTCGTGGTGGTAAGATAGGAGAGGGCATATCTAAGTAATAGCATCATATTAGATATGTATGGCTATATAAAAGATATTTAAGTTTCATACTTACCGATCATAATGGGATCGTCGTCATCTTGAAAGAAAGGAGAGTTTTCCATATGAACTGACATGACCGAGAGCAAGTCATCGTCTAGAAGATATGATACCATGTGAGTACATTAAGCATGAGAATCCATGTACACTGAAGCACCACTTACCAAGTTCCATCAAATCAGTTGGTTCCATGTAACGACGATCAAAGGGAGGAGCCATATAGGCGTCCTCGTCGAGAGGATCATCCACGGTTAAGTGGTCAAACAGGAAGGCTATAAAAGGGGCATTGTTAAAATGTTGTAAAGATAAGGGAGTAAATGTGTGGATATATACTTACCAAGCTCGTCCATGGCATCCTCACCCTCCACACCGAAAGCAACAGCAGCATCCTCATCACCAGGAGCAGGGACCACCTCACGAGCAACACCAGCAAAAGCAACATCGTCATCAACACCAAAAACAGGTCCACGACCAACACCAGAAGCACCAACACCTTCGAAACGAGCATGAGCAGAAGCAGCAGCGACACCAACACCAGCAGCAGAAACACCAGAACGACGAACAACAGGAGCAAACGAGACATCACCAAAAACGGGAGCAACACCAAAAACGGACTCATCACCACGAGCAGAAACGATCTCATCAGCAGCAGGGCCCTCAATATCGGCAACGTCATAAAGAGGAGCACCTGCGAGATCAACCACCTTCCAAAATGCACGGGCTTCCATCACGAACTTGGTTGCTTCTTCATTATCACGCATTGCTTGCAAAATACGTGGATCCCAGTCAGACGAACACCACACCCAAACGTCGACAAGAGAATGCCAAAAGGCAACAAGGGGATCATGAAAGAAAACGAAAAACATGAACAAGCAAAATAACGAGGCGACGGTAACAGGGAAAGCGATAAGCAACTGCAATATGCAGGCAAAGAGCAGGACAAATGGGCACAGAGGGCCAGAGGCGAAAGCAGCGACAGTAGCAAAGAGCCAGAAGTAGGGCATGACGCGAGTTAAAAAAAAGTTGGGAAGAGAGAGGAAGAAATTCGTTGCGCTGAAAACGGGCAATTTATTACCAAGACGACGTCACCCCATTTCACCCCATTTGACTAATCCAATGTCATGATCCTTCTCAATTGCAGTTGGAATGGGTAAACAAGTATGTCTAAACTATCTTTATATAGGTTGCTAATAAAAGGGTATAGGTGTGGTGGTGTTGTTATGTGTAGTTGTATTGTAGCCATACCGCAGCAACAATAGCCTTGGCACCCCTCCAACCTGTCACCCCGCCCCTTACCAATAATGATAATAGAAGATACCTTTATGAAAGCGTTATGAAAGGTGGTCCTGTTTATTGTATGCGTGTATGAAGGGCAGTGACTAATTTCCTTGTGTGCGTGTATGGGTGTCCTCGTCTTCTTGCTGCTTCTTGCCCATTCAGACCCAACGCCGCAATCGTGGTTCGACATGGAAGCCGTCATTAGCAAGCGATGTATACGAAAGGGTGTCTGTAAAGGTGCGTGTCGCTATGGTAGAGTGTAAAGGCCAACTTGCCTTTCTTCGCTGTGTATACTCATATGCATGTCTGTTGCAGCTTTCCTGGTTCAGCAATGGCGGCAATGGCAACGTTCAGGAGGAATGGGGAAGAGATCCTATACAAGGGAGGCAACGAATACTCTGTTGACAAGGCAGGTAAGACCACTTGAAGGGTTTGTAGCAAAGGGATAGGTTATCATTCCATCTCGACAACCTTCTGACAATGACACTAGCGACCTTTATCAAGCGACCTCATCACGTGATATTGCAGCAAGGCAAGAGCATGAAAGGAAGTTCGAACTTGCAGATATGGTATGTATAAGGTATACCAGCATCCAAAACTTGGTAACGGAATATTGGATTTAAACAGGATCATTTTCTAGCGACGCCATTGGATTTATTGCACTTGACCTTGTGGATGGATTGGACGGGATTGAGCATGGCATGTGAATCACAAGGATGCAACGCACAATAGTCATGAGTTTGACCTTGCTCAAAGGTGCCACAAGGCAACGGAGCACGCCTTTTCATTCATTGTATTATTGGACCAGGGCAATATACGACTTGGTTGAAGGCATTGTTTATGGTATGTATCCACTTTCAATTATCATCGTTTTCCAAAATACTAACGGAGGTCTTATGGTAGCTTACATTGGGGACATTCTCGGTGATCCACATGAGCAGTATTTTGGCATATCATGACAAGTTAATCGTCTACCACGATGTCCTGGGAACATGGGGAAGAACCCAACAAGCTCCCTTTATGGCACATAATGCCTGCAATGCACTCATTTCGATGGCTGGTGGCTATTCCTATCTCGTTACTCTCACTGCTTGTCGACTTTCATCAATCAGCATTTCCCAAACACTGGTTACCATCATCGGTATCTTGGTTACCGTATCATGGAAGCACCTGATTTTCGCCACTGGTACCTGTTTCATCATCTGTCCTTCTGATCCAAATTGCACGCCTGGAGATTGCCCATCCAATGCAAAAGAGATATCACCGAGTGTTGTGGTTCCCTTCATGCTGCTAATGGTCTGGTGTTTAACGTGCACACTGTGCCTACCGAAAGGTAAGCAACACACCAAATGGGTATAAATGTGCTGCCAAGTAAACAAGGCATCTTACAAACTTCCATAGATCCATACGTGGTTATTGGAGGCATTAGTATGTGGAATGATATGATGGGGCAATGCGTGGTAAGCTACAAGCATTGTTTGTTGGTATCAGGCAGCTGACCATATTGGATCTTATTCATCAGGTTATCCTGAAAACCAACACACAATTGCTCGTCCTGGATATGGCTGATTCACAATCATAACACAAACGATTTTGACGTGCACCACCACACCTTTTCGCTCAAACAAGACCTTGGTGTCATCTAATCTCAAGATGTCTTCCACTTGCTGTTTCGATTAAATGTCATGTGTGCCTTCGATGGTGTACGAACCTCTGGATTCAAATAACATGTGTGATGCTCTCGATGGCTAATGGGGTAGATTTAGTTATTGGTGAGCCATTGTGGTATGCGTGTTCAACAATGTTAGGATAGGCAAGATTGTACTTACCAACATTGAAACTAGGCACGTGGGATGCAAGCAAAATGTAGATGGTGAGATCTCCTGGTGTTGCTATGCTGGGGAACCATGCCCACTGCCGTTTGGTAGTTGTAGTAGGTTAGCGGATGGATCAAATAAACTTTACGTGAACCAACTTCAGAAGCAGATGGAGTATTAGATGATGCGCATGCATATATTATTAGCTGTGTGATTTGGCATTATGTATCATAAAGGAGCAACCCATCC